CTCTGCTTAGAATAAACACAGAAGCTAATGCTACTGAGATCTGATGTCTTACCCTTCTTGCATGCTTTCTAGAAATGATTACTTTCTTCCTTTCATCTCATTCTTCATTTTCTTAAGAAAATTGCAAATGAGACATAACATTTACAAGAAAATGTATTTGACATAAGCTAATGAATCAGCAAAATAAACGTGCATAGTTCTGCAGTGCTATTAAGAGTCTGAATTTAATGATCACCCCACCACTCCAATTCTGCTTCCAGGAGTTCCCAAAATTTTCAGCAGTACTGAACTGCTGCAGTTGTACTGTCTACGGACTGGATTTAGACTGCTCAAAAGTGAAATTAAGTTCAGCAAATCTGTTAATTCACATAGAGAATTACTGATCAACAATGTATTCTCTCTGTTTTCCAAGGAATTTCTACTCAATGGTTTAAAGATTTTTAGTGAGAATCAGGGTTTTGCCACAAATTTTCCTTTCAGGAGCCTCATTGGCTTAACCTATGTAGGCTGCTCTCTCTGCTATTAGAAAGACCTTCATCTATTTAACAAACCAGGTGGGCATGACAGATGTACCAAATAAACAGTGGTCCTTCCCCTCCAGAACTCAGAGCTGTGCATTAAACAGCCTGTCAAGAAATGCATCACTGAGTTGTAGTGTGCTTCTGTTTTACAAGTGGAAATAACTATCTACAACTTCATTTTTGAAGTTGCAGTCTAACAACACTCACATTTTTCTTCAGGTCAGAGCCAGCAGTATCTGTAATTTTTGCAATAGCAGCTGGAAGAATGGAATCTCTGTATTGATTAATCACACTGGCTGAATGATACATTGTTTCCTGAAATTTATTTTATTCTCTGGAACTTTTCTTAGTGATAAACTTGCCCAGAGAACATAATTACTTTTTTTTAAATGGAAGCAGAAAAATAGCTTTTTAAAGAAACGTAGGAAATCAGTCCAATTAGTTCCTCCTTGCTAAAATACGTTAGCAAAGTCAGGTGATATTGATCATAAATCTTGTAAGCAAAAGAAATTTAGACTTATTGCAAGGAATTTTGGTACAGAAGTTACACAAGTCTGTTCAAAAGTGTATAGGTACTTGGAAAACAATAAAGCAGTCCTCAGCAATAAATGCAGTTCTCAGCATGGACATTGCTAAGTGATCTCAGCAATTCTGTACTGTAATTTTTTCAATTATTACTTTAAAAAAATTCAGAAAGTTCAAATTTAACAACTGGAAGCGTTGATGTTAAAGTAGAAAAGTCTGAGAAATCTCCATCATTTGATGCCAACATTTGTGTATTTAGATATTGGGATTCAACAGAGATTTTCTGTGTGAATCTTAATTTTATCTTCAGAATTAACATAACACAAGTTGTTTGTTTGTGCAGAGGAAACCATCAATTTACGTTGCTTAGCACTAGAAAAACATGAAAGCATCTTTTTTATGACATTGGTTTGCATCTGTTACTGAGCCATGTTTTTTAAAGTTCTGAAATTGAAAATGGGGTCTGCTAGAGCTTGTTGAATCCAGTGGAGTTCAAGAGCCAGGGGAGTGCTCCTTCCTGGTCCACTGGAGCCCAGTTTGATGGAATTAAAGACCCAGGGGATTCTCCTGTCCCACTCCCATCGACTGGAGGCTGTCAGTATGGTGTCCCAGGTACAACCAGTAGTGAGGCTGAGCATGTATTCCCAATAGGCACACAGGCATGTACTGTACACACAGGACCCACCACACAGATATGCAGAGAGCAGCTCTTTTACCAGCACCCACATAAAAGCAAGCAGCAGTCGTGTAAATATGAACAACACTGGTGGTCTAGTTCCTCCTTTCTGGCTGATCAGGACTGAAGTTTGCCAGTGGAATATACGCACACCCTGACTGTCATCGTCCACAGGCACACTTGCATTTGTGGGTCACTCAGTATGGACTTTTAAGTCGATACAATATCCATGCCCAGCCTCTGCCCCCCTTACACAGTGACTGGCTCAAACCTTGGGTCTCTCCAAATGTAGATCACCTACTTACCAGCCAGTCCAGCTTGAAGTTTCCTAATGGTTATGTACACACTCCCACACACACCCCATGAGTCTCTCCAAGGGCTGGTCTGAGACACTTCAGTTGCTGGCACCCAGGCCCTCCGTTGCCTCAGACATGCGAGCGAGCTCTCTCCAGTGGCTGGCACCCGTCCTGTGCTACTTGCTATCTAGTCCAGCATGAAGTTTGCTAACATTTGCACACATGCAGGCTTGGAATAAGGACTGCACTTACACAGAAGATGGTTAGAGATAGGTTTTAATAAGAATATGCAATAGTCTCATTTAGACAAGCGTTTACATGCAGCCATTTCCTTTCATCCCCTCTTCTCCATTTACCTATGCGTGTTCCTCCCTGATCCACATTTGTCCCGTCCCCTAAACATCCTGTAAGTTTTCCACATACCCACAATGCCCTTAAAACATGCCATAATGTTACATGCCAAATTTTACGCCATCCGAAGTTTCTCTCTGCTCCATTGCAAAATTATCTGCCCCGTGCCAGCATACTATCCTTTTAGGCTGTAATCGCCCTTAGTCTGCAGGGCATCCTGGAAAGGGAGTCTTTTTCAATGAGGCTTCTTGGTAGGTTTCCTATCAGAAACTGTGGCTGAAACGGTCTCCTTCGATGGTCTTAGGAGCAGCAGATTCAGTGGCTTCTGTTCTTCACTGATTAGGTTACTTTGGTTCCACCATCTATCATTGTCCTTTTGATCATCACCAGGTCTTCGTGTTTAAATTGATTAGCCTTTAGTCAGATAACCTAAAAACAGTAAAATTCATAACAAAATGTATCTGGTTTAGGCCAGATAATTAGCTTCTTTTCTTGGAATTTCTTATCCTAAAGACTTTCCTTAAACTGTGTAGCTCCCTGTAACATAATTCAGAAAGGAGAACATGATGTACTGCTTTATCTATATAATTTCTTATCCACTTTATATTCCTCATACTTTCTCAGTGTTTCTGCCTAGTTTTGTCCCTAATCCAACTTAAACTATTCCAGCTACTTCTAAACTTCCAAGAAAATCACAGAACAATGTAGTCTTCAGGATAAGAAATTCCAAGAAAAGAAGCTAATGATGAAAATAAATTATCTGGCCTAAATCAGATACATTTTATTATGAATTTTACTGTTGTGGTAAAGCTCCAGATGTGCTGTAACAAAGGCAAAGAGTAATTTAAGGCATGATTTCCTGACTGGTTTGATTTGCCATAAATCCAAGCTCCCTGACTCATCAGTTTTTAGGCAGACTAGACAGATGAACGATCATTTTCACACAGATCCATTCCCCGCATCCAGTTGAACACTCTCTTTCTGTAGCAACAGCAGCAATCTAGGCTTTCTGCTTTTTACTTTATTAAAGTGGCAAGGATGAGAAAACTTTTCTAAAATCTACATGTGGATTCAAATTATGTTGAAATTTGCTATGTACTTAGGGGTGGACAACAAGGTTTGGAAGTTCAAAAAGGCATTTGAGCAGGAGTTTCTTGCTCAAAAATGCACGTCCCTTGAGTTCATGTGGGGTTTTTTTAATGTCCATCCTTGAGATTCTGGTTATTGTTTTGACCTTGCTGAAACTGACTTCATTCACGCAGAATCTGTCCAATCCAGTATGCAAAACTCCCTGTCATAAAAGGAAACAATATGTAAAAAAGTTGTAGATACACAGTGGACTTGTCCAAATAGTGTGTAATTGGGAGGGAAATAGTTATGTGCAGTATGACAAAGACCTTCATGTAAACTACATCACATGTGTTGGGTAATAGTGTAATTTAGCGTGATGTGCTGTAGCTATTGAACCTGAACTAATAGATAAGTGCTGTGCTGTAAGTTAAGTCCTATATTTGGTAGTTTTTAATGCTTGAGTTCTCATTTCAGAGAATTCCTGTGCTTGTGTCTCTGCTGATTGCTGTCGCTGGGGTGAAAACAATATGTAAAGTGATCTCTGATATTATTAAGTAAATAGAGAAAATGAGTTGATAAAAAGAGAATGCTTTTGTGGGACTGTCATGTTCCTTAACTTTTCATTGCCTTTTTTACAGAGGTTTCAGTATAGCTGAAATTGACATTTGGAAAGGGCACAAGATGCTTCTAAGCAACCTTACCTCCTCATTGCTAAGGTTTTGGGAAAATTAATATTTATTGGATGTGCCCCAAATTGTCGTTTATTCTGTGTGAGCATCTTGTGCCTCTAGGCACTATGCATGTATGAATGGAGGCTATTGCTATGTGTTCTTGGAAGCAGAGTTTTTTATTGTTAATTTTTGCCACTGCATAAGAAAAATTTCTATTCACTAAATACTCTTTGTGTCAAATTGTAAGTCTGATTGTTGTATGAAATGCTTATTTGTTTTCTAAATAGTTTTAGGGAAGGTTGATTTGCTTTGATGAGTTACCTTTTACTTAAAATGAATTATCAAACAAGTGTCCAAACAAATGAAAGAAAAACCCAGAAACCCCACTATTTTGTAGACTGCCAGGCATATATCTATGTATACAGCCTTTATCCTGCGTGAGGAGACCTCTGCCTGTCAAAGAATTTGCATAATCATTATTTATGTTTTGAAGTTTCCAGAGGCTACTAAATATTGCTCTTTTAATTGAGGTGGGGGAGGTCAGTTTGTTTGCTTGTTTTTTACTGATATTAGAGGTAATGACACCACTGTCAACTCTGTATTTGCTATTATTAGCAATATATATTGAATTATTAATAAGGTACTTGCAAATTATAATTATTTAACACAATTAATATTATGGCAGGTATTTTAACTAAATTTGCATTTAGTCTCATGTATAATCATGATCTGTAACCCTTATGAGAATATAATAGTTGAATACTTCTGTACAATGTCTCAAGATTAATGCTGCCCTCAATCTTGAGCCTTCTTAATTCTACCCTTGTTTATAGTATTTAAATATACTAAAGCTATTTTTGTTTTATCTTTTTTAACTCTTTGCACTTAGCAATGTAGCAAGAAAGCATCAGCTTCATTGTTGTGGATCCTGAAATCATCTGGAATAATTGCAAACCGTCCTTGGCCACGGATCACTCTTACATTGACAACCACTGCTATAATATTAACTATGGCTGTATTCAACATGGTAAGGGAAAAAGGGGTAATTTTTCTTGGTTTTTTTGTTCTTTTAAGATCTTTTTTTTTGTTCAGTATTTCTTTAGATGTCGAATTTATGGCCTATGGTTATGCCAGGAACCTACATGATAATGATTGCCAGAGACAGAAATGTAAAGCAGAGCAAGAGAAAACATACTGTATAATGGGGACCTCTGCAAACAGGATGCTCAGTAAGAGCTCGGATCTTGGCTAAATTTATTAAAGACAAATGTAATTTATAAGGAATAGAAGATAGTTTGAATTGTTCAAATCCCTTGCTCATCTATGCATTGCTTAGAAAAACAGAGTATTGTTCAAAAAAGGAAGTATCTCCTCATAGGATGCGTGGAAGACTTTGTGCAAAACGAACTAAGCTTTATTCAGATTTGTGATGCTCCTCTGCTGATCACAAAATTATCATAATGTATACATTATTGAATTTCACATGCTTGTCTTTTTTTTTATTGAAAAAGAAAAAAAATTCAAAGTTACATCAAAACTTCAAAAGTACTGAACTACAAGTTTGTTAAGGCTTACCTCTACTCTAGGAATTTCCACCTGTGCTTTTCTTTTCTCTTCTAATAGGGAAAATCCATGTAATTCTGTTATTCTTTTGTAACTATAGCAAATACAGAATAGATCTGTCATTAGTCTGCATAACATCTGAATCTTAATGTCCTCATTTATGCTGAAGGATGTGTTGTCTAATGGGGTGAGCAGTATATGGGATCAAAAAACTTCCTTTTTTTGTCCTGTTTTTTGCTGAGTCTGGTTCTATTTGTAAACCTGTGAAAGTGTTCCAGCTCAGTTCTGTATCTGCAAAATGGGAAGTGTAATATTTCTTTAGGTAATGTTTTCATTACAACATTAATGCATAGATATTAGTTACATTTCAAGTGAGTGAGATTTGAATTTCAGTACTTTTGAAATTGCAACTTTAGCGCTTCCTTGAGTTGCTGGAACTTTTGTTACTTGAGGTTCATAAAGGAGTTAAAGTTTGATAATACCTACACTGTTTTATTTTGTTTTCCCACAGCATTTCAGGGGACCCTTAGTCAATCATTTGTTACAGAAAGTACTAAACTTGTCAGGATAATGTAATGATGTAATGTGGGCTTTTAAATGTGAACACCTGAAATTTCTGGTAGAACCTTCTCTCCATTTTTTCTATTAAATGATCCTAGTCTTGTTTTTATTGGTTTTCTTTTCAGTAAAGTAGATATTTTCCTTTCTTTCTCCTGCTTTTTTAAGGAGAAGAGATAGACTCAAAAATCATTCCGTGTTCAAGAATTTAAAATTCAGCTAATTGAATTTGGTGTTTAAGGCTGGTAGAGGAAAAACTCAAAGAAGTAGTGGAAAATGAGAAAATAAGCTCACTTTTTAGCAGTGAAGGCAGTTAGCAATGGGAACAAATTATTTTGAAAAGTTGTTGATTCTCCATCACTTCTTGTTCTCAGATGAAGACTATATGCCTTTATGAAGGATAACCTTCAGCCAAGCAAAAGTTATTTGGCGTACTACAGGACAAAACCCAGAGATGGACTAGCTTGTAAAATGTCAGATTAGGCTTTCTCTTATTTTGAACTATATAAATGTATAAGATGAAATGAAATAACCTACTTGGGTTTAAAGTATACTTTGAGTTAGAGGTCATGTAACCATATGGTTAGTTATTAAGCTAAAAAGTTTAAAAGAAGATATGATCAGCAACTTTTTTTTCCTTAGACTGAAGTTCTACTATTGTGTACAGCCCACTTCAAATTTGGCCTTCAACTAGTAAAAGAGATTTTAGCAAAAAAGCATTTGTTCAGTACATCATTTTTAGAAAAAGTTTTTAGTTTTATTGGTTCAAGTCCACTTTTATGTGGACTGAATGTTACAGTAAAACTAAATAGGCTGTATTTTAAAGTCTTTGTGCCTTATCAGTAATGACTGCAGTATTACAAATAATCATGCTCCATGATATTCATGAGATGATAATTTTAAGTATAATTCCCACCTTGAAACTAAACCTTAATAGTTTGACTAGAAAAAATGACTTTAAATGTGATTGTGAAATTTGCATTTCCTTAATATTAATAGCAAATTGTGGGAGAGACTCTGAAGTATCATTATTGTATCTCCAAGCAACATGTACTTAATAGCAGAGTCCATTAACTGCATTTATTTCCATGAACTCTTTCAGTAGAAAAAGGCAAAATGTAGCCATTAAGATTTAATGGAGATAAAAAGCATCTAACCATCCCACACCTAATAAATCATAATTAAGACCAAAATGTCAAATAAAACTCAGTCTTTATGGTCAAGAGACATTAGAAAAGAGTGGGGGTGCAATTTTATTTCAAATTAGCTGTTTCAGCAGACATCTGAATCTAGTCTTCCCGTTTGAGAGGTATAAAGTCATGATCAGTGGAGGGAAGTTAAAAAACAGCTAATGTCACATAATTATCAAATACTTCTTAGCTGAAGGGAGAGGGTGACTAATGCTGCTTCCATTCAGCATTAGATCTGGTGCCATATATAGAGCAGGGCAACAACCAATGGCTGAGAAAAACTGTTTTTGCGAAGCTGACCTGCATTAAACCGAACATGAGAAAGTATATTGCAGGGAACAATCCAGACATCTCAGAGAGTCAGTAGGACTGCATGACTGCAAAAAGTTGATTCTTGGAAGCTGAATGAATGACTGTATACAATACATCAAATGATTGTGCCTCACCATCCTCTGGGATTCATGTGATCTCAAGGAACATGGCATGATGAAAGAGCCCTGGAACAGCTCTTTGTTTCAGTGACTTCTGCATCAAATGCGTGAATGGTTCTTGGCACAGCAATAGGATCTCAGGGCTATACTCTCCCAGGAAGGTGCCCTAACTACCAGCTTTCAGATTCAGGATCATAGAATCGTAGAATAGTTTGGGTTGGAAGGGACCTTTAAAGGTCATCTAGTCCAACCCCCTGCCATGGGCAGGGACATCTTCCACTAGATCAGGTTGCTCAGAGCCCCGACCGATCTGACCTTCAATGTTTCCAGGATTGGGGCATCTACCACCTCTCTGGGCAACCTGTTCCAGTGTTTCACCACCCGCATTGTAAAAAATTTCTGCCTTATCTCTAGTCTGAATCTACCCTCTTTTAGTTTAAAACCATTCCCCCTTGTCCTGTTGCAACAGGCCCTATTAAAAAGTCTGTCCCCATCTTTCTTATAAGCCTCCTTTAAGTACTGAGAGGCCGCAATAAAGTCTTCCCGGAGCCTTCTCTTCTCCAGGCTGAACAACCCCAACTCTCTCAGCCTTTCCTCATAAGAGAGGGGTTCCATTCCTTTGATCATTTTTGCGGCCCTCCTCTGGATGTTACTTGTTTTCCTGTCTTTCATCCAGTGAATTTTGAACAACTGGACTATTTCCTTTGAAAGAACATGTCTTTAGAAATGTGAAGACTGACAGAGGTTTGAGTATTTTTTGCTCCATTGTTTAATTTTTGTGAGCTGTGAGCACGAGCTGCCTTAAGTGATGCAAGTATTGGCCCCAGATTGTTCTCCCTCTAGTCATGGCTGAAATCCTGTGTTTTAATAATGACAAATAATTAAGCAAACCTGCTTTCATTCTTATAGTAGAAAGTTGGTTTCTTTAATACACCTTCCTTTTAGTGTAGCCGACACTGTTAATACAATTGCTGATCTTGCTTAGTGCTGTATTTTTAATAGGCAAGCTCTTTGGCAGATACGCTCTAATTATATGTCCCCACAGTGCCTAGCGCATTGAAGACCCTCTTTTGGAGGGTGGCTAATGCATTTCTTTTAAGAAGAATAAACAGACACTGCCTAGAGCTTGACCTGGCCTAGGAGTTGAAAGGAGAAAGGGGAATGCACAGCTGCAGTCATGTCATTTAATTCCTGACTCAGCTGCCAGACCAACTGGCATTTTTCAAAGGAAGCGGTGATATGCATTTTGAGAAGTTCTCCTAAGCCACATGGATATTTGGAGAACTGGTAGAAAAATGAAAAACAAAGAAGAGGAGTCCTGCATGTTTGCCTTGGAGGTTCAAACAAAAGAGCAATGCTGAACAAAAGCATCATTGCTTCATTTTTTTTTGTGTTAAGAAAAACGTAAATCCTCTAGTTCAACCTATAATACCAGACTTACATGATTCTGCCATACTTAAAAGTATACTCTTCTCACTCTGTCTTTTGCTGAACAAAAGAGTAGGGCACAAACATGAACAAGTTTGTTCACAACAGCACTATAAAAACTGTAGACCATTGTGTCTTGAGGAGATTGCATAGCTCTTCTGGAAAGGCAGAAAATTAATTTAAAGTATCGTTGCGTGTATACATAAGGCAAGGAGGTAGTGGAGAGAGAGAGGGATGGTGACAAAGATGTTTTTTATACTTTTCTTTATAGTCTTCACATGTCCATTTCCAGTGTAATTATGTATAATAAGGAAGAGAAAACAATGATGTGATCTAATTAAACGTAAACTGTAAATTCAATTGAGCTGCACTTTTTGGTAGCATGCCAGACCTTTGCTTTTGCTGCTTATGTGTTTCCATTGATTAAGTACAGCTCTGCTCTGGAACTGCTGATCCTGGAGCACCTTCTTCCTAAAGAGCTTACCTCTGGGCTGCGGGGTTTCTTGCTGGTGTGCGAAAGGGCACTTGTTAGTGTTCTGAGGGTAGCCTTTGGGTTCTTTTTGCACAGAAGATGATATTAGTATTTGTCTTTACATGGCTACTGCATGACATAGTGCTACCACAGGTTGATGACCTTAGTTGAACTATCTGTGGCACTTGAATCAATTAATTTTGCCTTTTACTCTGTGATTCAGTAGTTCAATGGAGGGCTATTTCCCAGCTTTCTGCCTCCTGCTCACCTGTCACGGGGTCAACCCATTCACTTAGTAACTATTAAAACCTTCCACATTTTATTGTTTATTCCATAGTTGATTAATTCAGTGTGCATTTGATTACTGCACTTAATAATAAATTCTGCCACCTTTCCTTCTTCTCAGTAGGATGCTATTTTATGCACATTAATATGGAAATCAGCAAGCCCACTTGCTTAGTAAGGTGAGATACAACCCATTCAGCTTGGCACGTTTACATCGTACCACGTTCATTGTGACGCCTTGGTTCTGGTGCCTTGTGGATTGTAGAGAAGGGTTGAAAGTACCTTGGTGAGAAAGTTGGCTTCGTTTTTAGTAAGATCTAAACTAGTGTACTATGTAGTCTTTTGCAGATTTTTGGTCAGATAACAAAAGAGATGCACTAACTTGCTTACCCTATGTTGTGGGGGAAGGGTTTGTCACCACAAGGCTCCTATTGAAAGAAATAGCAGCACAGCAGGTATTTTCATCATGTGAGGCAAAAAACTCACAACTGAAGATTGCAGATTATACGAACACAAGAAAAGAAAAAAGCTGTTAGAATATATGAAGTTGAAATGAGAATTTAATGGTAGTGTGCTCAGATGTTCCCTGGCAAACATTGGTATTCATAAAAAATATTGCTTTCATTTGAGTCATTTGAGTAGGTGTGACTGCTTAGTAGGACTGAGCTGTCTCTTACAAAAAAATACTATGTTGAAGAACAATATGTATCTCCAAAGCGTGATAGCAGATGTAGATAACTGATGAGAGACAAGAAAGACAAGTACAAACACATCATTCAGAAATAAGTGTTGTTTGGCTCATGGGAGATGACAACATTTCCATATCCTTTTTTTTTTTCCTTTCTATATTTATTTATGTATTCATAGATATACCACATTTCATATAGCATTCTGTGTATACAGGTAACATTTATAGGTCAGAATCTCAAAATTAAAATGCTTTAATAGAAATTAATATATATTTTTTTTATATATACACATATATGTTTATATAATGTAATTGTGTTTGAGTTCTTCATGGTATATAATCTTCTGTTCTGTGGACATGCGTGGGATGGGATTCTGAAACTAAATACAGTTATTTCATGTTTGCAAAAAAAGTAAATGTGCTACTAGTGGGATGTGGGGACTCTTTTGACCTGGTTAACAACATCTATTAAGATGAGAATGTCAATTTAAATAGTTGGGGGCAGGGAGGGGGATTAAATACTTAAAGCTGTCTGGAGGGCCTTTGCCCAAAATTGTTCCTGTTAAAGAGGAAAACCAGCATCAGCTGGCTTAAACAGTAACCAAGGGACTTCAGAACGAATTCTGAAGTAAAGAAAGAAATAGGTGAGAAGAAGTATAAAAGAAGCATGGAAATCTGTAACAGGAGGCGAAGACCTATAAGTGTAAACAGCTGACTGTCAAAACCTATTTTGATACTGCCATAAGTCACTCCTCTGGCATCACACCTCTGGCATCGTACCTCTGCCTCGGCCAGCGAGAGCAGCCTCCCGGTCGGATACTGTGAGCTGCCTGCTCTGCAACAGTGCAGGCTGTGACAAGCAGGGACCCACGCTTCAGGTTTGTCTGTGCCCATGAACCCACAGGGTGCTTTCTCACTAGCATGTGCATGAACAATTTGTAGAGAGTTGCACAGGTATACATAAAGCTAGAGCACCCACATCTCCTTACAGGAGGGGTGTGCAAGTAGGGTAAACCACGCTCCCACAAGAGGGAGCATGTGCATTTAATCCACACGTCCTGTGAGAAGGGGCAGATACGCGTATAACTCTGTGTGTGTATGTGATTAGAGCTCTTTGCGATCAGTTATAGAAGGGTGTTTCAAAATCTGTAGGTGTTTATTAACACTTCGTAGGGTTGGTTTTGCAGTTTATCTGTTGTATTACTGATACTGATCCTGACTGTTTAGTTCACTGATTGCAGGTTAATTATGTGTAGTTTCACGTAAACAGTCAGAGAAGCTTGTTAGTGAAGGAAGACAACCTGAAAGTGCAACTGTACAAACAAAGGTGAGTGCCAACTTCTTGTAAAGCAGTCTTGGTAGCAGGTGGCGTATCTATTGCCTTCACAAGTCCACAACCGGTCCTGCTTCTGTTGAAGGGGCGTTACAGAGATAATGGTTTCAAGCTCTTCTCAGCAGTGCCACAAAATATCTCAAGGGGCACTGACCACGGGTGGCTTGGGAGGTTGGATAGACTTTAAAGAGAAAAAAAAGTCACTGTTGATTTAGTACAGTGCTGGAACATGTTGCCAAGGGGGATTGTGGTGTCTCCATCCTTGGAAGTTTTCAAGACTTGGCTATACAGAGCTGTGGCGGACCAGATCCAGTGTTAGTTAGTAAATCAATAAACCATTTTGATCCACATTTGCTTACTCTGAGTGAAACTGAGCAGATTTTCTCTGGGGCAGTAGGTAAAGACGGGGATGGGGAAAGAATTTATAGGTGAGTTACAAACTGGCTACCTGCAGAGAACGGGTGAGAGGGAGGCAACCTGTGGAGCTCTGCAATGATCAAGCCAGTGTGGATTTTCATATACAGTGTATGAGAGGGACTGTGAAATTTGCTAATGAAATTAAGACAGGCAATGTCTGTGAGGGAAAGATTGGGATTTTAGAAAGGAAGAAGTCAGCTGAGGATTTGAGTAAAAGAACTAGGATGAAAGAACTAGGATGAAATTTAGTAGTACAGAGCGCAAGATTATGGTTGGTCTGACAGACCAGTGACAAGAAATTCTGATACAAGTTGGAAGCTCATCAGATGGACATGCAATGAGTTCAGGATTTTAATTAATTATGTGGGTTTAATGACAACTCAGCTGAATCACAGTAACCATCCATGTGACTGCTCTTCCCTCATGGTAAGTATAAACCACATTTACCTAACTGAGTCCCAATGAAGGAAAACTACCTCACATTTGCTGAGCGTGATGTTAGTGGCTGGGATCATGTCAATGTGCAGCAATGTGTTAAGCTGCTATAATGTCATGATCTGTCTGAGCCCCACTTACGTGAGATACGGTGAGCTATGAAGGTTTTGTAGCTGTGAGCAAAAGAGCTGTTATTCTAGGATGTATGAAAACATATTTTCTGCAGAATTAGTATTAATGCTATTGAACAACTCACTGATAAAATCTGGGAGGAGTGTTTGCAGTTTTGGTCACCTAGAAGGTTGAATTGAAAGAGGTATGTACAGAGGGTGACTACTAGAATGATCAGGGGAATGAAGAGCTTTTTTTCTGGGAAGAAACTAGAAAAACATAGATTACTGAGCACAGTGAAAGTTGAGATGGCATTAAATATTGGCAGCGTACATACTATGGAGAGAAAGGAGCTATCTGAAAGCTAAAGGATGAGATTAGCACAAGAAGAAAAAAAATATGGGAACTGGCTATGAACACTGGTTAAACTTAGAAACAGTTCTTAGAAACAGCGGTGAGATTCAAAGCAGTGGAATTAATGTAGTCAAATCTAAGTCATTAAGAAAGGACTGGATCAATACATCAAAGGGTACTGTATAATGGTGGTTATCTGTGACATCAACTGGCTGAATTTGATGACCCAGGAGATACTGGTTCCACTCTTCTGTTTCAATAACATTAGTACCAATATTATTGTCATTGTTATTATGAGAAGGATTACATCTGTGTAAATCAACTTCAGTAAAGACTTCTTACTCTTTCTTTAATTCTTCCTGTGTATGAATAGGAGGTTCAGTTGAGGTAAACCCAGGAATTATTCATATTGAATTTATTTCATCATTGTATCTCATGTGTGTGAGCTTCTGATATATGAAAGTAACATAACAAAGAGCCTTTTGTCTTTTATTCAAATAGAAAGTGTCAGGTGGAGGTTAACAAAGTTGTTTTTGTCTGAGCATGCAGGAACAAGTAATCAAGTGATGTCATTTTCCCTTTTCTATTTCAATTTGCAGTGAAATACCAAAGTTAAATGATTACTGGCAAGGCTTTCTCCGCTTCTCCATTTCTCTTCTCTATTTTGACCTTAAACAGCTGACAAGCTAATGGATTATATGTTGTTTTTCTCTAGTTTTTCCTGGATAATGCTGTGAAAGCTTTTCCCTCAGTTGTTAATTCATCTAATGCAAGTTTTCCTAATTCAAGTAATCAGACACGGTGGTGTATACAAAACAACTGTTTTTTCCTACCGGTAAGTTCATTTTACATTTTTTTGTTTGTTTACAACAATTACACTAAATTGACTGTTGCCAGATCTGCTTGAAGTTAAACACCCACCAGTTTTTAAGACTGCAGAAAAAGCTTGATTTTTTTTCAGTCACTGCAACTGCATTTGAAGGAAGTGGGAAATTAAAGGAGGTACTTCTGAAAATAGAGGTTTTAATGAATGTCAGATTAAAAAGCAGGAAACAGTTTGATAACTCACTAAAGTTAAATAAGTTTGATAAAGCATAGCTCACCCATGCCAACAAATGGGCATTATGAGATATAACGAGAACACACAGCAACTGCAAAGCAGACTGTGCACTGAAAGCTCCACATCGCTGTCAGTGGGAAAACCAGGTTGGTCTGCAGACGGGTTTCACAGGACCAGTGGTAGACCTGAAAATATTCACCACTTTCATTATTGACCTGGCAGTAAATGTGAAATCTGTGATTGTCACACTTCTGTCATGCATATTTGATTAAGAGGTGCGGTGAGAGGGGGGAAATACAACACTCGTGTACCATTATATAAACTGTTTAAAAGATCTGAACTGATTAGAAGAAGATGTCTTAGTGCGAACAAGAGCACAGTGGCACATGCAAGAAGGGGGGGAAGGACATTCCTGCAAAAAATGGGATCTGTATCCTAGAGAGCAATGATTCTTAAAGGGATTGCAAAAGACGTGCAGTTTTTTGCACAAACAAACAAGCTTTATATTGTGCCAAAATAGGTCAACAGTCTTTGGATGAGTAAGCAGGAGGCAGCAAGAGGAGGAGGGAGATTATTTTATCTCTATGCGGAACTGATGAGATCAGTCCCAGAATGGTATATGCTGATTTCCACACAAAATGTTTTACATGAAACACCTATTCACTATGTCAAGCTAAACAATCCTAGGCACACACAAAAGCAAGATGTTAATTATGTATAGAACTCTCCTGGAAAAAAACAGTTGTAGTAACTGCAGCATTTACGAACTTTCAGCATCTCCCTGATAAAGCGACAGCAGAGCATGAGTTTCTGTTTCTCATTTTCAAATTTAGCTAACTAAATACCACCAGGTGTGGATAGGTGCCTATGTCTTCTTTTGGCCTTGTTGTCAAAGAAATGATGCAGTCCTCCCAGCCTCTGTATATGTTCACACTCACAAGCACATAGAAATAAATTGTTCCAATGCTTATTTATATTTGTTTGCTTTTCTAGTTAGCAGGTTTTCTAGTCATCTTTTTTTATATTGTTACAGTTTTGAACATCTTGAAAGGTATTTTGTTTTCTTTTTTACCAGTAAGTTCTCCAACAAGCAGCTGAAGGATACAGTTTTCATAAATTACACTTATTATTAAGATTGAATCTGCTGTTCTTAAAAAAGAACAACTTTGTGTGTCTTTTTCCTTTGTTTTCCCATGTATAACTAAGATGTTTGTCAGCTCTTCACGTGATTGGCACATTTCTAACAATTAGTGCTTTATAGATTTTAAACTATTAAAATGCATTCTTTCATCAAAGAAACTTTGTCTTTGATAAATTGGCACAAAAATTATATTAAAATGTCACTTCTGATAATAATAAATGAAAAGGTTAGGTTGGCTAAAGTTTTTAAACACTTTTTCCCTACTTTTGTTATTAAACAGCTCTCAAATGCACATCATTTTCATCCTCAGGCACTGCAAAACTTCTAGCTTGAAAAAGCTGCAAATTCCTTTTGAGTTACTACTTTTTTTTAAATCTGGAAGTAAAATTATTCTGTCTTTATTGAATGAGATACTGAATACTTAAGCTGACAAATGTTTGTTTCCCTAAATTAAAAATTCAATCTTTTGAATCTATGTGTTAGCTTTAAGCTTTATTCATGCAGATAAACTTCCCGTGATTTATGATAGTGGACCTGAGAGATCTATTGACTATGCCATCTAAAATGAGTGAATAAGAGATTTTTGAATTATTTCAGTTCCAGTAGAATTTAGTTCATTTTGAAGCAAACTAATTGATTCTCCCCCTCCTCCACCCCCCAAAATAACTTTTCTGAGTTGTATTGCTTGCTTTCTTGCTCTTTTTAAAGACTTAGGAAAGATTACACAGTAAGTTTTAGGGACTTTGCTTGTGTTTAGTTATTGTTTAGTTTTGCTATGATGCTTCTGTAGTTTCCATATAATAGAAGTTAGGCCTGGGAGATTTCAAGTCATGCATATCTCTTCCTGTGATAAAATACAGTGTGGTATCAGTGCTGCCACCTCCACATGTTAAATAAATAAAAGTCATACTGACTTGTAAAAGATGCAGTTTTGGAATACACTTTATTTGAATAGGGAATTCCAAAATGACTTTCTTCTCAAGTTTTTCTCCATAGATGTATTGGAGTAGAATCCCTTTTTACTTTAGTAAAGATCTTTACAACAACAGAACTGTAGGTCTTAAATTTTAAGAGAAGAGACCAAATGCACTGGGCTGGAGATAAGATCCTAAGGGTGTAGTGCACTGGTGTAAGGCACTGGGCCTGTGATTCTGGTAAGAAAGGCACTCAGACTATGTAGGTATTGGTTAAAATACCATTTATTGGAGCTAGCACAGGAAGAAAAAAGAGGGTAGATGGAGTTACATCCCTTCAGATGCTGGAAACTCTGAATCATGCAGCATCGGATGGTGCTCCAGTCAGGGACGGCATGTGGTGCAGATCCCATCTGTGGAGAGGTTACCCAGCGTTTTCCTCTTTTGAGCTTTTACAGGATTTTCTTAAAAGGAAACAATTTTATTCATCATTTCTGCTGTCAGACAAAAACGATGTCCTTGAGAACTTGCTGCTGCACTGTTAGATTAAGTCAAGGCCACACAGGTGGCATAACCGCCGCTACCAAGTGGGAGCTGCCTGCAGACTCCTTGGTTGCTGTAAGGTGGCTGAGGTTATCCCATGGCCAAGGGATACGCAGAGCACAGCACGGACCTGCACCTGCTGAGGTTCCCTGCTATGTGGATTGCTAACTCTTCAGTGTTGCGTGTCCAAAGAAGGGCAACAAAGCTGGTGAAGGGTCTAGAACACAAGTCTTATGAGGAGCAGCTGAGGGAACTGGGGTTGTTTAGCCTGGAGAAAAGGAGGTTCAGGGGAGACCTTATCCCTCTCTACAACTACCTGAAAGGAGGTTGTAGTGAGGTGGTGTTGGTCTCTTCTCCCAAGTAACAAGCAATAAAACAAGAGGAAATAGCCTCAAGTTGTGCCAGGGGAGGTTTAGATTGGATATTAGGAAAAATTTCTTCATTGAAAGGGGCGTCAAGCACTGGAGCAGGCTGCCCAGGGAAGTGGTTCAGTCACCATCCCTGGAGGTGTTTAAAAGATGTGTGGATGTGGTGCTTAGGGACATGGTTTAATGGTGGACTTGGCAGTGCTAGGTTAACGGCTGGGCTTGATGATCTTAAAGGTCCTTTCCAACCTAAATGATTCTATGATCTTTCAGTCAGGGTCGCTACAAAGGATTGGTATCACTGCAACTCTCTGCCTTGGAAAAAGCCTCAGTGCCTGTGTAGTCTGAGCCCTTTTTGTTCCCCAGTAGATTGTACAGAGGTGTAGGATGAAGCCTGAAACAGGTCTTCACTAAGAAACAAGCCCAGTATACCTTCACACAAAAGCTGTAATTTTTTCCCAGCTGAGCATTAATTCCTCTGTAGGAAAATTCATGTTCATTTGATGAACTGAGAGCAGACTACTTAGCCCAGGAGATAGGCTGCCATTTTTCTGACAGCTTGCAATTTTTGTGCTTTGACAAAGACCAGAGCTCTCATGCTACACATATGACAGTAATTCCACCAGTCCTGATCTTCTGTATAGCTACTTTGACTGTTTCTTCACCAAATTGTTACTGTTTTCCAGCGTCTTGCATGCTTTGTAGCTGCATGCATCCTTCTGAGAAGCTAGCTAGAATGCCAGTTACCTTTATTCCTCTGCAGTATATCTTTTGAAGCATTTTGTCTTGCAGTTCCTCCTCTGATTTTTTTTCAAGCCTTTCTGCATTAGTCTGAAAAGCTGAAAGGGTTGGAGAAGGATTCAAGGTACAATACTTTAAGTGTCTACTAAAATTTGCAAATTCTGTTATTAAAAGGGTGAAATTTCAGTTCCTTTGACAGGAATTGAAAAATTTGTTTGCAGTGTTGAGCACTCAGAAACAATAGCCTTGAATATATGTAAGATACAGATGGAAAAAGGTTTATTTAAGGTGGCATTTTCAAAAAAAAATGCTTCATAACCTGGTGTGGCTGTTCCAGTAGAGTTGCCTACAGACTCCTTTCCAGATCTGCTTGTTGCTTGCTGGAATCTTGCATTACAATACACAATATCGGAGTCTGCATTCTTAAATGTGTGGCTGTGCCACTCTTTTCTAATCCATCCTTCCTTGTTTGAAATCTTAGCTGAAATTTTCAATCTAGTTTATGTATTCCTATGGAACACTAACAGAGTCTATTCCACTTGGAAGTTTCTTGGTCTTTGTCAAACTGCATTCAGTTGTGGATTCAAGACTGCCTTTTGTTTGCTTGTTTCTTTTTGGAAAACTAATTTCACAAATAGAATGCCTTACAGAGTAAAAAATGGATGCTGCTACTTTTACGTAACACTGAATTCGGAGTGTGACCTCCTGTAGAATGCAGCCATCAGAGAAGTTTTATTTTTGGTGATTCTGAACAGCAGTTCTTTCTATTTCTTATGTCAAGCAGATCTGCAAGCAAATTACAGTAACGGCAGAGATTCAGATGGCAGATCAATTCTGTCTGATGGGTGCTGTGAAAATTATTCTTCTTAGTGATCGTCCAAAATTAGTATGCAGTGATTCAGGTTCTGTCAAAAGTACTGCCATCAACAAGTCAACAGTAGTCTGAAAATAGCATATTTAGAAATAGAATGCTTTGTAGTTTCAGAAAAGATAACTTCCTTATAAGGTGCAGGACTGTAATTTTCAGGAAGCATCTTTGGCAAAGGTGTTAAGGGCTAAGATAATGATTCTAGTGAGAATGTATTATTCCTGTTTTAGCATTAATTTTGATGCCCTAATCCATTTCCAGAAAGTATCCAGAGAAAATATTTTTACAGGAATTTAATTTCAACCATACATATTTTTGTTGATATATATGACATAGGAAAGAAAAGGCTTTTTTTAACAATTTAATGTGTTCTTATGTAGTCATAACTCAAGAGGATTTGACAGAAGAATTTTTTTATATTTATATTATGCATAGGCCATGTTAATAATTTTATATTCTTCATATCTTAGCTTTATTTCTAGAGTTTGTAAAATTGTGTATCTATGAGGTTCATAACAACTGTGTATTGCATCAATTTATAAATACTGCAAATATAGGCAACAAAATTGTTGTTTGCAGATCTTTAGACATTTTACTGTGACTCTTATGCTAGTAATACATACAGGGTAGTTACTGAACTCAAGCGTGAATGAAAACCGTACAGTGGCACAGGAATAAATCTTTTGCCAATCTGCCAGCAGTAGGCCCTTGCATTAGACTTCAACACCAGCAGTGGTGTCCCACGAATAGGCACTCCTCGCTACTGCAGATGAGTAAATCAAAAGTGACAAAGGGTGAAAACTAGGGAGCAAAAATTAGGAGCATACTCTGGATTTTATTGAGTTTTGGGTGAATTGGAGCCTAGTAAGAAAAAGGGTCTATTTTATGAAATAATAACACCTGATTGTTATTGTCTGTCTGTAAACCATAGTGTCCCAGGTTGTGATAGATTCCACGCTTAAGTGATCAGTCAATAATTTGTTTTTTAAACTAGCCTGAGCATTTTATTATGTATGATTTCCTACTCAAGAGCCAAATTCTAAATATTTTCCATTTGATTTTTCTTTGCCAGTATTTTATATACAGCTGCATATTAGGGCTCATTTCCTGTTCTGTATTCCTGAGGATAAATTATGAATTGAAAATGGTGATAATGTTGATTGCATTGGTGGGCTACAACGTTATCCTTCTGCACACTCATGGGCCCATGCTGGATGACTACAGCAAATTTATGTATGCAATGGCACCTCTTAGAAGGTAGGTGAATAACTCCAGTCCTTCTGAAATTAACAGAAATTAAATACTACCTATGGCAGTTCTTATGTCATGCAACAAATTTTTTTTCTATGTGTTTGGCTATATAATCTACAAGTCACAATTTAAAATAATTGTCATGCTGCAGTTAATATATGATTTAATGTTGCACCTCAGAATTAGAACAAACTAAACACGTCTGGGCAAGGTGTTTAAATCACATATTATAGGAAACAGAGTATGGTTTAATTTGCATTTTTGTAATAAAGGACATCAGGAAGAAGTCATCATTAAGGTTGTTAAGGCCTAAGGCTGAGCATAATTAAGGCTGTTAAAGCATATTTGCTGCAAGCCAAAGAAAATCAACTTCCTCAGAACTAGTACATTGTCTTAAACTTTACAAATGCAGTCTTAGCTATTGAAAAAATTAGTAGACCAACAGTTTGGCGTTTTTTTGCTGTGCTTGCAAATTTGTATGTTAAATTTTCAGTGAGACTGCTGAAATTTTTGTTATAGGTGATAATATATTAAGACCAAAACTATGACTCTTAAGTATTGCTGTGTAAAAGAATTTTGGACACATGCAATTTCTACCTCATTTTCAAAACAAAGAGGTGATTCTTTTCTATGTAGGCTGAGTGTGCAGTGCATATGCCACAACAGAAAAACTGAATATTCAGAGCAGAGTTTCAGTATCCTTTTTCCTGTGCTGTAAACTGCTCAAGATCTTTAGGACACAGAGACAACCATGGAAAAGGATCTGAATTGAAAAAAAAAAAAAGTGTATGTTTTCTTTGCTCTTACATCTAAAGATTAAATAAACAAACCCAGGTCTTTATGTTTTCATTGCATTAGTGGAACAGATATCTCTGTGATGGGATGGAGAACCATGTGACAGGTTAGATTTAGCATGTGCTTCTGGGAGCCTTGATTTTGCCAGTCAAGCTGTGTGTCTGTTGGTCTTTTCTTTCCTAAATCTCTCACCAAGGTTCTTCTTTCAGCAGCATCAGTAAGAGAGTGCTAGTGCGAACTGTTTCCCATTACCTCGTGTCTTTTCCCAAAGCAGAGTTTTTAATAAACTCTGTACAAGATCTAGTTTATGCCTCCTGTAATTCTGAGGTGAAAAGGCATCTTGGGAGTTAGGTGCTTTAGTTTCTGTTTCTTCACATTCATTGGATACGGTCAAGCTCTCCATTGTGGAAGTAGTGTTTTTAATGTCTTTTAAAATGTCTTTTTAATCTGCCTGCACAGAATAAGCACCAAATGTTCCCCGTTTGTAAGCAAACAAGGATATTATTTTTACTAAATCCTCATCTTATTACTGGACTTCAAAATGTAGGCACATTTGCACAGAATGTAGCAGAAGTAATTAAAGCTACATAATGGAAATAATAATATTTCATCAAATACTAAAGCATATCATATTTAAATGGTCTTAGTTTATATACCAGAAAGTAGTATAAATTGTGGTCTTATTCTTGTGCTAAAGTAATTTTGTTTTAACTTTTGAGCGGCTTGCTTTACTTATGTTTTTATTTTATAGGCCAGGAATACTGAAAGACCTGAAGACAATGGGCTCAATTTCTTTGTTTATATTCTTCGTCACATTACTGGTTTTGGGTAGACAGGTAAGATGCACACGTCTCTTCATCTGCATCAGTGGACACAATTCCAGCCTCTACATGCAGCCTCTCACCTTCTCAAACATTTTTTAGATTTTCTGACAAATACCTTTATTCCATTCTGCCCCACACCCTTGCAAAGAAATGTCAGAAGCATCTAAAAAGCTCTTTTCTTTATTACCTTCCAATATGTCCTTAAAACTCACCAATAACTGTCATTGAGACTGTAGACATTATGCTGATAGTGTGCTGTGACTATTGCTTGTCACGCTGACCAATATTGTCTCATAGCTTCCTAGTGTGCTCCCATCTGTCTGCATCCATCTGCTGTCTCCCTAGTTGCTTAATTACAAGCTATTTTCTTCACAGTTATTACCATTTGATGCAGACACAGAAACAATGTAGCATGCACACAGAAGTGTACCGCATGCTGAGGCCACAGTTGCTCTAAAACTATGACCCAACAGGAAACTACTCTTCTTATTACGCAGTTGTGCTTTTTCAGTACAAATGTGATGTCAATGGTCTTGCTCTCTGCGAAGTTGAGGGCAGGTGCAAGGGCAGTTCTCTCTCTAAATCCTCAGGTCTGTCCATGATCCATGGCTAAAAGCTGCAATTCCAGCCCATTGTGCCAGGAACAATGCAGTGCACCAGACAGGGCTCTGAGATGGAAGAGGCAATCCATGTGAGATCTCATGAACAGCCTGTACCCCCATAGCCTGCAGCCTTGGGAAGGATCTTATCCCATACTGTCTTTAATCACGCATTTACATTACAATTCCCAGAAACATAATGACTGTCATTTAAATTGCCAAGCAGGCCCTGCAGGTTACTAGACAAAAAAATTCTTACCTGGCAGCTTCTCCAGTATTTGCTGTAGTGGGGAACATACTTCCTGAGTTAGAAATAAGATTCTGCCTTGCTGCCAGCACTGTATTAGAGTTTGCTCATTTGATGACCGTAGCAGAGAGTGGGGCTGGAGCACAGCTGCTTCCACTTGGAAAGAGGGATAAAGACTTCATCGCACCAGTTGAGAACCTTTAGTCCCTGTCAACCAAGGTATCAGGTGGAGGTGGTGGGCAACACCAAGAAAAAAGGAGATAAGGAACCTCATCTTCACTGGGCAAGGAGAGTATTTCTTTATGGGTTCAGTCACACCAGCAAGAAAGGTTGTTTTGCATACAATAACTGTGTGTGTGTTGTTCCCTGTCACACTAACTGAAAATTGATCCTGTAATGGAAAAAGTCTTTGTTTTCAGAGCTGTAGGTCCAGGATCCTTGTCATGATACCACTTGTTTGTGGCTCTTCAGTCTGTTGCCTTTGACTTTTCTGCTAATTTATTGTCCCTTAAAGAAGAAGAAGAAAAAAACCTTTGTGTTTTCAAACACTCTCAAGCAAAGTCTAAATGATAACTAGAAAATGTTATGGACTAATTTTAATACATACCTGGCATAAGACCTGCCATTTTAAGTTACTGTTAATGATACTGGCTGGCAACAAATGCTTGTGAAAAGAATAGGGGAGGAAGTGAACCTGCGTAGAGCAACCTTTCCAGGGACATTTGCTTCCCACCTTCTGCCAGTCAGCATTTCTGTGGCAACATTTAGTAGCTATTGGTTGCACTGCTTTCTGTTACACTGTCTGATCCCTTTTTAACCCATTTTATCTTCCTGGTCTTCCCAACATTGTCTGATAATGAATTTCACATTTTGATAAAAAGTCATGTGAAAGTGTCTGTCTTCTTGTTTGTTTTTAAACTTTCTGCTTGCTACTTTCATTGAGTGGCACTTGCAGAATGCTGTCGAGCCATCTTGGCAGTGTAGGCAAAGTAAAATTCTTCCCTACCCTTCTTCCACAGAGGGTAATATACAAGTAATTTCTCTGTTTGTTATTGCATTTTTCTACTTTGCAGATAATAACATGTCTTTTCTCTTCTTTTAATATATGATTATTTTAGCAATGCTAAAGATAATAGCCACTGATGAAAAGGGTGGTCTTTCCATTTCCCTTAAGCTGGCATTGGTGCTCCTCTGTCCCCAGAGTGAGTAACTAGAAAGTTCATCTAAACAAAAAGTGAATGCTTTCCTACAAGCCTAGCTCTGTGAACCTGCTCACTACTGATCAGAGAGATGCCTGTTCTGATGCAAAAGCAGAAGGGGGAATGTATGTCTCTGGATGAATGGGGATGAAGAGAGGGACAGCTAGTATATCTTTACATGTTATATAAGCCAACTTAATTCTCAGGTTCAACTAATACTTTTAGCTGCACAACCAGCATCCCTACTGAAAGAGGCCTTCCCTCAGCTACTCATTCTTATCCTTGTATCTCCTTATTTGTACTGGCACAGCTGCCTGTGGAGCTGTATAGTGGCCCAAAATAGGGAAATGATCTGGCTTAAAAATTAACCCTGGAACAATGGTTGGTTTTCAGCCAGATCTATTTCCTGATCTGGTTTTGTGGTGTGGCTGCAGCAATGCTTGTGCCAAAAGAATAAGCACAAGATGGGAGCGAGCAGCCACAAGCGAGGTGGAGAAAGTAGAACTTGTTTTTTTGATGGTCAAGCCATGGTATGGCACTGAGATCAAGTGATGCATTTTATTCTGCATGCATGCTGTTAGAGTTATTTGAAAATAGGCTGGCAGCAGGCAGGCGGTATGTTGAGAATGGCGACTCTTGCACCATGCCGAGGCATTGCCCGGGAGAATGGTATGGGCTAGACTGTGTAAAGAGTATGCTCACATTTAAACACTATTGAGCATTAAATCTCTCTTATGGCCCAGTTTGAATTACCAGTATTGACATAACCTATGAATTCCTTTCTCATCAGTATCTAAAATTACACATATCCCATTACTCTGTAGGCTAGGTGAATATTTTGTTTTCCCCATGATTGATTATATTGTGTTTAACAACAGTGAACTTCATTGGCTGTTTTACTGCATTGGCAACTGTTTATGGCAACTTCCCTCAGCCATGAAAACTGTTTGTTTGTAGTCTCTGCTCTGTTTTTTAGTGAGCTTTTATTCTGTGAGAGGATCCTTCTCTTCTTAGATAATGTAGTCTTTTCAAGAGCCTCTTTTGAAAGAATTTAATGAAAACTTATTTCAAACTTCACTCCTATTCACATGCTCATTGACTTCTTTGTAACAAATGGAGGCATGTTTACAGAAGACATGTCAACTCTCCCCATTGTATCAGCTTTAGCGAATATGTCTAAATAGCTCTTTTCCTTAGCGTAGTTTTTTTCCAAAGTACCTTGCTCTATCGTTCCCAGGGACACCCCAGTTCTTTTCCAAAGATTTGCATTATATCCTTACCATTTGCATATATCCTTACCACAGTTCTCTGACACTGTGGCTGTTTTGAATGATCAGCTATCCACCACAAGTTTCAGACCAGCAGTTTTTCATTTTGGTTATGTTAGAGCTGATGACTTCTTGTTGATCAACTTACTAATGTGTTCTGCTGACGCTCTGTGTTGAGACAGTTTTTCAGACTTGCTGTCTGTAAGTAATGGCTGTGAGGTGGAATCTCCTTAGCTCCCTCATCTGAATGAAAACCCAGGTTTAATTTCTAGTGATCTTACCTGCTTTAGTGCTGCCTTTGCTGCCCCTTTGCTGAATGCCATAGCATTCATCTCCCCTGACTCCCCATAGTAGACACCTATGGCATAGGCAGCTACTCTTCAGCTGCTTATCTTGACTTTCTATATGACATTCTTCCAGTGGAGGAGAATCAGTTCATTGCCTCACTCAGGCAAATATTGAAAATAGACCCAGGTGAGTGTCCCACTAGAATTAAAAAATATAAATAAAAGCATCTCTGTGCAATCAATGAGACATGAATCAGTTCTTGTTGCACTTAACTGCTTTTGCCCAAGAAGTTACTACTGATTTGAACCTCTGGGGTTGGTTGCATTGCCTTGCACAGATGCATGGTAGTCTCTTGTCCTGGAGAAAGCAAATTGCTCTGTGGTGCCCAGAGGAACCTGAAGGCAGTGTCCTTCATGCCTCCCTCGCTCTTCCACTATGCTCACCTGCTGGGAAGTGCTGTCAAGTAAAGCAGCATAAGGTGAAGAAAGAAAATTTCGTATCTCAAGGATATTGTGCCTGCAGATGTATAACGGCCATTCTGAGATATTTTCATTCTGATATGTTGAATAGGTTCTGGAGATAACATGTAAAGTAGGAAACAATCTTGGTTTTCATAGGACTGCAAGGCTACAAACATTGAACAGGATCTTTAATGACGTGTATACTAAATTGGCTAGATCATACAAACAAAAAAAACCCCACGATCTAAAGTAAGTTTTAATAAAGTAGTGCTTTTTTGTTTTTAAAAGTCTGAATAGGCATTTTGAAATATGATATGTTGACTTTTTTAATTTCAAAGCAAATTGTAGCATACATTCTGCTTTATTTTTTCTGATTTCTGAGTTGTCTGCCACTTTTTTGTGGCAGCCTAAATTTCATTCAATAAATAATAAAGCAGTAAATAAATTATCTATTTAATATTAGCTCTTAAAGAAGAAATATATTTTTGAAGACTTCAGCTTATTTAGCACCTTTTCTTTTTAACACAAAGTTGGTACAATGCATGGATACCTAATTTCATTTTTATGCCAGGCATCCAGTTTACTTTTGTCAATTTATGTGAATAATTTTGACATCCCAGGTTTTTATTGGATTTTTTCTGCATGAATACAGTTGGTGGCATTTGAATTTATCATCTATGTGGGGAACTTAGATGTATAAATATATGATATACATATTTAAAAGCTTGCCAAATTATTTTAATACTATCTCATTTCAACTTTCTACTCTAGCTTTTTGCTGTGACCTCAACAAAGTATCTATGAATCATTTTGAGCTGTGACAGCCACTGTCCAATCAGAAGGACTACTCTCATTTTTATGTGAATGCTTACTGACTGCTAATAATACTAGCTAGCATTTTTAGGTTTTTCTATAATAAGATTGTCATCATAATCATGTTCTCCTGGTTAATAACATAGTCTTCACTGAGGCTGAATGATAGCATTAAACCATTGGACTACTTTGAAATAGCTCTTGATTTATATCAGCTCAAATGAGATAGTCAGGCCAGTGGAGGTTTTACTGTAGAAATAATGCCATAGAATTTACGACAAAACATTGACAATATTGGAAAGAAGTAGAGAGAGCTCCACAAAAAAAGCCTTTTTATTTCTTTTTCAACATCTTTTTAATGAAATCGGATCTCCAAAAATACTGACATTCCAAGAATGTTACACATTTCCATATAGTTCCATTTATTGTTATTGTTGGAGATGTTAAAAAACAATTATGAAAACTCTGGGACAAAAAAAAAGGAAGGATAAAGTATTATAGAAAGCAGTGTAAAACAAAAACAAAACAAAAAACCCCCAACAAAACTAAAACTGGGTTGGCCCAACTGACTGGGCCTTTTTTTGTAATCTGATAATGATTTGATAAACTGAAGGCATATTATATCAATAGGCTGTTTTTTCTTGTACTGCCTGCTTTTTACCATGCTGATTGCGTGACGTAAGTTCAAGATGGTAAAAGTTAGCGTCTTCCTGAAATGCCCATTATTGTAACTGAAATTCTACACTTCAGATAAATAAGACGTCATATTAAGTTGCAAAATTGTAAATTGTTTCCTTAACAGTGTTAGATTTCTACTAAAGCCTGAGAGTAAATATATAAATCTTCCATTGTTTAAGGCACCTTGCAACTTTATTTTTTTCCTGGGCCTTTTTATGGGCCTTTTTAGGGGTGGGGGGTGGGGCTAATAAGTTTGATGAAATGTATGTCACATAGTGCGTGCTTGGGGTTTGATTTCTGTGGAATCTGGAATTGGTCTTGAGTGGCCAAATAATAGCCTTGTAGGGGTGGTGTACTGTGCTTATTTTGTCTCTTAAACCTGTACTCCAGCAGGACAAGATGCCTATTGTTTCTTTACCTCTGTGTCCTCTTGTAACAGAATGAATATTACTGTAGGTTAGACTTCCTGTGGAAGAACAAGTTCAAAAAAGAGCGGGAAGAGATTGAAACCATGGAGAACCTAAATCGGGTGCTTCTGGAGAATGTGCTTCCAGCCCACGTAGCTGAACACTTCTTGGCAAGAAACCTGAAGAATGAGGTCAGCCATCTCTGTATATCCTCTGCTCTGTAAGAAAGCAGCGTATCCTGGAAATACCACTTAATGCTGATTTGAACAGTAGGTCCATACAGTGAGATTGTAGATTTACAGTCACTTTCATTCCCCCTTACCTACCTGAAAGGCTTGCTTTACAGTACTGAATGCACCTTAGCACCTTGAAGTAAAAAATGTGAGATTATCTTAAGTGGCAATGCACTTTGCCTTTCGAAGGAGGGGAAAAAAGGGTGAGGAGGAGGAAGAAGATGGTTGAATCAACATGGATTTAGATTTAAATCATATGCATACAGATACTTTTTTCTTTGTGATCAGAGTGGAGCTGCATCCAGGTTCTGAATTTTCTTCTGGTGACTGGAGACCTTGCTTACTGGAGTGAAAATTAACCTTTTCTCTGAAACAGTGGCTGTGTTAATTCTGGAAAGAGCTTCTGAACACTGAATTACCTGTTTATTTGCTGCTTGTGGACCTAATCCAAGCACCAGAAAAGTCAGCCAAAAGACCCCTGTTGACTTTGGTGGAAGTTAGATCTGCTCCTAATATTGCTTTACAGTTTTAATAAAGCAAAAAAGGTTGAAAAAATAAAAGCATTTAGAGAGAGTAGCAGTTCTAGACATCTTAAATGCAATAGTTTGAATTACTTGTACATACCAAACAATTGTTCTAAAACTGACAAAAGAGGCAAGAGGGCAGCTTTAGGGATTCATTTTTGATTTCCTGAGTCAAAAAGGAAAATGTCTTCCCTTTCACTGTGGTTTGCATTAAGCAGTACTAATCAGTACTTTATATCAGTACTTTAGCACTACCTGCAAATATTCATTTGGTAGCTCATGTCGAATGAAAACTGCTGTGGGGTTCCTTTGAATCCAGTGAAGACCTTGGCTGGGAGCCAGGTTGGCTCAGCTCCAGTTCTCAGTTCAGGCATTAAACACAGCAAACCATCAGGAGATTGCTTTCTCATTTATGTGCTATTCTATCTCAGCTCCCCAGCAGAGCAACACCATCTGCTCACCTTTGTATTGGCAACTGGATTAATATTGTCATCCCTCAAGATTCTTAGGTTGGAATGAGCTTTAGTAAATTTAGTGAAGATCAGAAATTGTAATGTGCTGAGCTCTCCAATCTATCATGTCAGCCGAAGTAAAAATGATTTGATGTAATTTTAGCAGCATCCCTTTAAAAAAAATAAAATTTTGAGTTGTTTCTTGTTTTGCTTATCTTTAAACACAGTTTTCAAAGAGGGAAGAACCTTTCAAACCCCTGGAAATGTTCAGGAATATAAGCATCTGTCATGTCTTCAGATTTGTTTCAATGTCAGCAAGGATGTGTTGAGCCTTAAAGGACATTCTGTATGTGTATATGTGTACATACCCAAGAATATGTTAGGACAGATCAAGCCTTTGTTTTCTTTGTGTGGATATTTAGGTAAACAGATACTGAATTGAAATTTGTCCGCATTTTCCAGAGTTGCAAACGTTCATGTTAATATAGTTTTGTGTATATTCTTTTCTGTTTAAACCAGATTTTGAGATGAAAATTAATCTAATGAATGAATAGTCTGTTTCAGAATACTACTTCTCTTAGAATTTTATGCATGCGGCTGTATGGAGAAAAGGGAAGACAAAGTGTGCTGCTGAAGAACAGGCAGTAGGAATGAAAGGGGAAAAAATGAGCGGATGAATGCTAACTGGGAGTAGTGGGACTGTACTTCTAGATGACCAACAAAGGTCTTTTCATAACAGGATACACATTGACTAATGCTGACATGGGAAAAGCAAAGTTACTTCAGAGCAGACTGTAATAAAGGTTTGTTTGCTTTACCAGAACCTCTGGAACTGGGTTTCTGCTTATAGTCTGCATGCTGCGTACCAAACAGGGTACTTTCCAGTTGAGAGAGAGAAAGATAGGAATAAATATAAAATCAAAAGCAGGAAACGGGGCCAGGATTAAATGTATCTGCTCCTGGCTTGTGCAGCCTTTTCCTTTATGCTGTTAGCATCCAGAACCCTATTAGTAAAAAGTGCTCAGGAGCTTTTGTGCTACAAGCTAACTGGCAGGCACATTACTGAGCAAGAGGAATCCTGTTTCATTAGCTGCAGGATGGAGCCAGCACCCTACTTCGAGCAGAAATTCTGCCCCAGAGAAGCTGACCACCATACCCTTCCAAGAAGTAGAATGGGACCAGTTTGCCTCCTCCATCCTGAGAAGGTCTCCAGGCACTGAGAAGAAGAGGGGACAGTAAGGAGAGCCAACCAGCAGAAATTCAGATGTTATCAAAGGGGAAAAAAGAAAAAAGAAAAGGGATTGACTGCAGAAGACAGAATGATTTTTTTTTTTAATTTTTGTTGAAAGAAGCAAAGCCGTTCCTTCCTGGAATGGTGTTGCATTTAATTTTCTGAATAAACATTTTGGAGAGTACTGTTTCAAGTGAAGTACTCATAGGAAAATTAAGACGCCCAATTGCTACAGCCTTTATTATTATGAATGATCAAAATAAACTAGCTGGGAATGCCTCCTTAAAATTCTCTGATATTTATTGTGACAGCCACAATTACTACTCCTCTGGTTATAAACAGTGCCATTTGTTGTTGTTTCTGTGTTGGTACTATGCTATAGAGCATTATAGAATCATAGAACAGTTTGGGTTGGAAGGGACCTTTAAAGGTCATCTAGTCCAACCCCCTGCCATGGGCAGGACATCTTCCACTAGATCAGGTTCCTCAGAGCCCCATCCGATCTGACCTTCAATGTTTCCAGGAGTGGGGCACCTACCACCTCTCTGGGCAACCTGTTCCAGTGTTTCACCACCTGCATTGTAAAAAATTTCTTCCTTATCTCTAGTCTAAATCTACCCTCTTTTAGTTTAAAACCATTCCCCCTTGTCCTGTCGCAACAGGCCCTGCTAAAAAGTTTGTCCCCATCTTTCTTATAAGCGCCCTTTAAGTACTGACAGGCCGCAATAAGGTGTCCCTGGAGCCTTCTCTTCTCCAGGCTGAACAACCCCAACTCTCTCAGCCTTTCTTCATAGCAGAGGAGTTCCATCCCCCTGATCATTTTTGTGGCCCTCCTCTGGACCCACTCCAACAGGTCCATGTCTTTCCTGTGCCGAGGGCTCCAGAGCTGGACGCAGCACTGCAGGTGGGGTCTCACCAGAGCAGAGTAGAGGGACAGAATCCCCTCCCTCGACCTGCTGGCCACGCTGCTTTTGATGCAGCCCAGGATACGGTTGGCCTTCTGGGCGGCGAGCGCACATTGCCGGCTCACATCCAGCTTTTCATCCACCAGTACCCCCAAGTCCTTCTCGGCAGGGCTGCTCTCAATCCCTTCATCCCCCAGCCTGTATTGATACCGGGGGTTGCATTAGTGGGGATGGATATTGCCCCAGTATTAGAGGGGAAGGAAGAGAAATGGGACGCTGTTGCTGAGCATTAGCATATCACAAGTGTTCACATACAATGTGCTCATTTATTTTTGAGGTGGAGGAGAGGAAGGAGTGATAACTCTGGTTATAGAAAAAGACGATTTGTGTCTGTAATTGTAACAGTTGGGCATGTAACCCTTTTTTACAGGTTGGTTCTCCCCATACTGGGTGGACAGCCAACAGCATAAAGCACGCTGATATCCCTGTGTCACAACAGCACTTTTATTTGAATCTCTGCTCCTGTCTTTTCCTCAGTCATATTTCTCTTCCTGATGACTGTGCATTGTGCAAGTTGCCATGATTTATTCTGGGCTACACTTCTGCTTTCAGGGAAGACAGGAAAGGCACTTCCTAACAGCTAATTAGGGTTCCACGTTTAACGTCTGTAAGACAGCATTTTTTTCAGTGGCAATCGTAGTAAGACAGGAGTTGCCACCCATCAGCAGTCCAGTCAACTGCAGAGCCCAAGCAGTATCCAGCGTTAGATATTTCAGCAAATGTTTGAGGAACAGCTGAAGATTAATGTGCTATTCACCCTTCTGCTTTTACCTGTAAATGTAAGGGCATATTTTGCTTCTGCAGATGCTTTTTATACACTTCCTAGTTATGCATTTTTCTAGTATTCACATAAGCATTCAGGTTTTTAACCCTCTAAGCTCTTGTCTTTCATGTTGAATAGCAATGACATATACATGTATATATCTCTTACGTAAAATATTTTTCTTTATTCTACTTTTAAATGTTCTATTTATCTTCTTTATGAGGTGGTAAAATGCATCCATCTTCTACCATCTCTGCTTCATATTATTCAATAATATCATATGCCTGCAGCACTGCATAGTTGGTCTCCATTTCCTGTAAGTGTTCAGTTGTAGCTCTTAACAGACCTGTATTCTTATGACTTGAAATTATATTCTGAAATAAACCTTTACATGGCATTAGTTTCCATGTGCTATTTCAGATATAGCACTGGGCCAGTATCACCTCTGTGCCTAGATTTTGTCTGTTTCACAAACCTCACAACCAATATCTCATCATTAGTGTAATTCTGGCACGTTTTACATTCTCAGGATGCAAAATCGGCAGGATTCAGTAAAGAAAATAGAACAGCTGCTATCTAATGTTTATATGGTAAATTAAAACAACTTTTTTTTTACTAATTAACAGAATCCCTAGGACAATAGAATTGTATATTAATATTAATTTTAACTGTACTATTATTTTGGCTGAATTTAACTTACTGGATTTTTCAAGCTTTTTTTTTTCATATTTTTCAAGGAATATGAAAATTTTTTTTTTTTTTTAAATATTTGATCACAGATGTATACAACTTGTTTATTTTGTCAGGTCAAGTTTCAAAAGTATGTGTAATAATCCGTATTTTGAGTATTAATTATCTACATTCTGCTATAAATACTCTTCTATCTCCCTCCAGTCTTTTATATAACACTGTGAATTTCCCCTTCTGTATTACCAAGGCCCTGTATTTTTTATGCAATCCTCTTTTAATACCCAGCACCATGTGTGTGACCTGAATTCCTTCACCCAAAATTGAAATCCAGTTACAGGGAAGGTGACTTGAGGAAATAGAAGGAAAGCTGAGTTAACTACAGAATGTAATCTCTGTACCTATTCTGCTAACTTGCCTATGAAAAGCACTCAGCGCATCAACTTTTTGGTGCATTTGTACGCAAATGTTACTGTAGCTTCAGTGTAGACATGCCTGAGGTAAATTTGAAGTACGTAAATGTGAAGCAAAATGCAGACTGCAAAAGCTAAACATTTGAGGAGTGAGCCTGTAATCTTCTTCTACTGCTCCCCTGAACTAATTTCAGGCTAATTTGAGTATATCTAGTATATGCACTGAGTCTAGGTGCATACATACTCAAGACAGCCACCAGTGTATGTCACTGCAGTATTACAGGGTGGACCTGGGTTTAAGTGTGAGAGACTGGAGCAAAGAGAGGTCATTTTGGGCCTGAGCTTCTGAATTTCTTAGAGTCATCCTGTAGAGTTTCAGACACTCCTCTTGAGTGCCTACATTAGGAAAAATTACCTCTTTAGCCTTTTTTCCATAACTGACTGAGAGAGAGAAACACTATCTGCGGTGATTCTGCCCATCTGTCATTAAAATGACCTTCCAGATAGGCACATCTCCTGTACTGACAATATAGGACACATAGGATGACTGTGCTCTCAAATCAAATACTTCAGTCAGGTGCTTAACTTGCCTAAATTCAGTTGATGTCATCCAGCCTCTCCCCACCATTTGATTACTTTATTATATGGATTAAATTTATTAACCAGGTGTTTATGGAGATGGATAAAATAGATGGCAGAAAAATATTTTGACAATATTGGTTCTTCATGAAAAACTCTCTTGGCAAGAGGACAATGGAGATCCAGAACTCCTTTCAAGTTTAGTATCAATCTGACAGTGAACTCATCAGCATGGGCATTTTGTTTCGTTGCTTTTCATTTGCACAACTGGGTCACTTTAAAGTGATACTGATTTTGTATATATGGCTGTAAGCTGCATGTCAGGTACAGATGGGTGATTTCAACTGGCTCAGCTTTAAGAATATAAATAATAACGGTGAATTGCAATGATATATTTCATCCCCACTGCACAGAGGCATGGTGGAGCTTTAGTGATGCTCTGGTTATGGAATCCTTAGAAAATAAAGGGGCAGAAAAATCTAGTAATAAATCATCTACCTCCTCCAGCTGCCTGTGTTCCTCCCTGTCCACCATTATTTTCATGTTTGCCCAGAAACTTCCCTCACACTTTTTCTGGGATGAGGCGGTCAACAGTTTTCCCATAGTTCTGCTATTTTTCAGTTATACATCACCAACAGAGGTTCACTATGTCTGTACAAATCTGTGTAGAGACACACCACATTTTTTCAAAAAGAAACATACTGCCAGTGAAATTGAAAAAAAAAAAAGCTTTGATAAGTAAAAAGGGAAATAATATCTGATGCTTCTTGAAATCACGGGACAAATCCTATTCATCTTATTCACATGAGTATCGAAATCCTTGTTTTACTCAAATAATAACCTGAATGGAATTTGACTTTATAGTAGCTTAAGCATCTTTTATTGCTGTGGTTACCTTTGTGTACAGATACATATTTTTTTAAACTATTAGTTTAATAAATATTCTTTCTTTCCTTTTTTTCAGCATGTGAATTTATCCTGAAAGAAGAGATATTGTAATGTTTAAGGGCAGTGGCGAGGAAACTGAAGTGGGGGGTGGTTGGACATTTTTAGCACCAGAATCTTCCTGAGGAGCAGAGATGCTCTCATTTCAGTGGTCACAGAAGGCAGTGGAGAATCTGACATAAATAAGTTTTAGTTCAGGTGACTTCTTTCCCTTTGCCTCAGCACCTTGTTATGGAAAAGAAATGACAATTATTTTGTCCTTTTAGGCATCTTGTTATTTTAGGTTAGGAACTATCAGGATTGTGTTGCATTTGTAATGCATTGGGTTTGTGATTTTGGTTCAATTTTCTAGTTATTAAAATAACACAGACAGCTAATAATAAATTAGAGATTATTTTGCAAAATATAGTTTCAGCCATGCAAGCCAGACCAAATTCTCTACATTAGAAGCCTCAGAAATAGGCCCTATCTAATAAATTAGTGAACATTTTATGTTCACAGAGTTAATGTTCAGGAGGGAAAAAAGGTAACTTTAAACCACTAAAATATTTTCAGCTATATATTTGAGTCTCTTTAACAAACAGGTTTATACACTGTTTAAAATTAATAAATGCAACTAAATGGAAAAAATACCCAACCACCTTCTTAAGGCATTCCAACCACTGCAACGCCTCCCTTTTCAGAACCAGGACACTGCCTATTAATAAGGAAACTTTTATTTAGATCTGGGTATGACAGATTCTTTTTTCTCTATTCTGTTTTCTTTTGGACAGGATCTATATCATCAGTCATATGACTGTGTCTGTGTCATGTTTGCCTCTGTTCCGGATTTCAAGGAATTTTACACAGAATCTGATGTTAATAAGGAAGGCTTGGAATGTCTCAGGCTGCTAAATGAGATCATTGCTGACTTTGATGATGTATGTACTTCTAACAACAATCAACATATGGTTTCAATCTTAATAACCCAGGGTATGCAACAGTAAGCAAACATACTTGAAAGGGAGAGTGGAAGAGCTGTCAGAAAAGAACTTTTGTGTGCCTAGTCATGTGGAAATTACAGCGAGTATTAAAGGAAAAAGAGATTTATGTGGGATAAATCAGATATTGATCTGACATCATACTCAATTGCTTTTGATTCGCTATAATGAGAATCCTATGTGTATATCTAATGGAGAAATTTTTGCTCTTTAGCTGCAGTTCATGAGACGGTCATATTACATGCCATATATTAACTACAGTTTCTAAATACTAGTGCCTAAAGTCAGGTACGTAAGTCTATGTCCCCTAAAATGATACAGCTTTGTGTTATACCAGATCTGTGTTGCTCTCATTATACAGAGCATTGATCAGTTGATACATGAGCAACTCAAAGGATTGTATAAGTTTTAATATTCCATTCTCTGAAGTTACTAGCAAGTAGGGAGTATGACTACAAATGGATTGTGAAAAGGCAGCTGTAAAAGTCTCACTGAGAGCAGTATTTGCCTTAAAGAAGGTTATTAGTGACAAAGATACCAGAAAAGGGCGTTAAGATCATGTCATGACTCAGAGAACACAATCTGAATCTGCGGATCTGCAGCTATAGAGGGTATTTTGGCAGCAAACCCATTTGGAGACCATTGGAATGTTCAAAACAACCTGGGATCCAATCCTTGGATTTTAGTCCCATTGGCATGGACCAGCCATTGGCATGGAAGAGATGCTTACTTTTAGAAAGCTGCTCAAAACTTAACTGTTGGCTCGCATGGTGACTCAGTTCCAATATCAAACAAGTGCAAAGTCTACTGACTTTTAAGAGCTGTATGTACAATGAGGTGGAATTTATTCTCATTACTATAAATTTAGTCCCTTTATAATAAAAAGGTATTTTAGCAGACAGAATTCCCTTTCCTTGAAGGCTGTAACCATTGTTTTATCCATCCTTAAGTCCTTCATCCTGTATATATTTGTGAAGCCATTTGGGGTCTATTAAGAGACTGTTCTAAGAATTGATGCTCTGAATGCTGTTAGAGTAACAATGCTGTTAGAGTATCAAGGCTGCTGATCTGAATAATGAATAACCATCCTTGTTTTACAGTTATTGTCAAAGCCAAAATTCAGTGGAGTTGAAAAGATAAAGACCATTGGAAGCACTTACATGGCAGCAACAGGATTGAGTGCTACACCCAACCAAGAACAGTGTCAGGTACAGGAAAAGATTCCTGCTTAATAAAAAACATGTTCAAATGAAGGCTAAAATTCTGTTCATTAAACTGAAGGTTATGTATAATGTTGTGGCCTAGTTTTTTTCTTATTAAAATAGATTGTATTATATTAGACAAGTGTATACTTTTGTTTAGTAGTCTCTGTGAATTATTGTTCTTCACATTGCAGTTTGAAGATGCCACCTCTGTATTTGCTAAGTCTAAAGCAGGCCTTCTACTCTAAATACAGTACAGCATTTTATTCCTACATACTGCAGCAGAACTGGATTTATAGAGTGTAGAAAAGAGTGCAAGAATGAGTATTTTCCATGTTAAGCTGGGAGGGCTGAGTAGACGTATTAGCCATACACTTACAGAACCCTCTGGCTCAGCACTGAGAACGTGTTCCTTTGTTTCTAGTTTACTTAATAGGGTAGGATTGGGAACTGCAATCAGTAGAAATGAAGTTCAGAGGAGCAATTCATAACTTTCAAGTAAAAACCTTGCTTTTGCCATGATCTTTAGAGTACTACAGGTTAGCAACAGAGCGACAGCAATTATGAATCAACACATTCTCTGCTAGGATTAATGTGCTTTTGCCAAACTCACGTTCCTTCTAGACAGAAGAAATTAACGCCCGAAGCATAGACCCTAAGGATCCTGAGGGCAAAAAAAGAATTATTTTAAATTAGCTCTGACATTTAATACAGGGAGGGGGATGAAGGAAATGCAGAACTGTAGACTGGAGATGAGAAGACATAGAGGAGCTCTCAATCACAACTAAAACTAGTGTGTGCACAGGAAGAAATTTATCGTTTGAGTTATTTCCACAAACTGTGAATCAAGAGATCCACGTTTTAGTGTTCCTTTGGTGATTTAGTACACATTTTCAAAAGAAATCCACCAAAACTCAGCAGCCTTCAGTCCAGATGCCCGAAGATCCACAGATACTGCAGTACCTAGAGCGGCAGTGACTGACTGCTAGGCATACTGCTGGGAACAGCCCCCAGCTTAAAACAAGCACCCAAGGAAGACTAAGTGCCTAAAGAGGGGCTCTGAATACATCAACTGAACAGGAGACCATCCGTCTTAGCTAGGAGTGAACTCTAAAGGAAACAGGCTTCATTCATCTAAACAGCTGCTCCCACCTAGGCTGATGCATCTACTCTATGAATCATCTCCCAAAGTTGTCATCTGTCCATCTCTTCTGTCACTTTATCTCAAGAAATGAGGAAGATGCAGTCATTTCTCATAGAGATCAGTAAGTCCATTTCTTATGAAATCGTTCTCTTGTCAGGGCCCTACCCTGGGCTGTGGGAGCCCAAAAATAAATTCTCTCCTCAGCCTGAGAGGACTCAAACCAGTAGTTAGAAATCAGGCTACACTGTTGATGTATGAGGAGACATTAAGTCTATAGCCTTTATAAGTGGTATAAGCTCTGAGCTAGTAAATTAGGGGGCAGACAATGGGTTGCCTTCTTCCTTTCTTCCTCTTGTATTTTATTCATTTTCAGGTCTAGAAGAAGTTCTCAGAGATGCTTGCTTATCTACTAGATGAGATTAGTGGAGGAACTCTTAAAATTGTAAATTTCACTGGAGCTTAAGCATTAACTAGGGTGCTGAGCTGTGCAACAGTGAGAGGGAGGAGTCTCTGTGGGGCTGTCCACAAGCATTATTTATTATTAAAGGACATAAAATAGAAGCAGACACTTAGACAAAACTAACGAGCAAATCCTAGGCACACATAGACATTGAGTGTCTGTGGGATTAGATAGCTAATCGGTAACTTGAGAATCAAAATGTTAGATTAGACATCTTTCGGATCTATCATCTCTAGACTGCCTGACTGTGTAAGTAAAATGCATCCTGGTCTATTGCCACTGTTTGATCTAACTGATGCTGGACAAGGCACCATCTTCTACACTACTTTGCTGCTGCTGCTGGCATTAGGACATCCCTAAGGGTTTAAGTGCTTTCAAGTGTTCAGTGTATTTTGGTTGTATTCTCACAGCAACTAAGGCTAAGGAAAATTATTTTATTCTGTTTGTTTGGCTGTTTAAATTCAGGAACCTGAACGACAGTATATGCACATAGGAACCATGGTGGAGTTTGCATTTGCCCTGGTGGCGAAACTGGATGTCATAAACAAGCATTCATTCAATGACTTCAAGTTACGAGTAGGTATGTATAACAGGATTTTTATGAGAATATCATGGAGAAGGGGGAGAATTCAGTGTGAAGTACCAGCTGATTAAAGTGTTAGTAGAACTAACCAAAAGGGCCATGAAAGTAAATAGCACTATCTTTAGCCTGTTAAGGCAGCCTATGTGGTATTGTCTGTGAACCATAGCTGCTGTTGTGGCAAGGAGTGTTTTCAAGGCAGGACTCAGGAAAGGGCAGTATTCCTAAGTAAGGAATGGTTGAAAAATACATTCCCATTGCTCTGAATTGTTTTATGGTAACTCTATAATAATTATTCTGGAGGTTGCTAACCGCATAAATTTTTTAAGCTTATCAATACCAAAAGACACAAGAAGGCTCTAGGCAGGGCTTTACAAAACCATATAAATGATTTTGGAGGACAAGAGCTATAAGGGGCCAGTGAGGCTGGATTTTGAAATATTTTAGATGTACTAAACTCAAGCAAGCATACAAAAATGCACCCTTTCCTTCCCAGTGTTAGACAAAGGAGGATATTTCTCTTCTTTGTTATTCTGTGGTTATTGACACATAAGAGCATGACTAGTTGTTTATATTTCAGCTTCTAATTGCTTCTACTTGTGCATCATGGTATTTTAAAAACGAAACAGGCAGCTGCAGTAAGCCATGGAAAGCATGATGAAATAAATTAATTCAGAGCTGGTCAAGAACCATATGTTTCAAAATGTTTATTTCCTGATAGCAGCACACAGCAGTTTTACAATGCAATGTGTAACTTGGAAAGTGTGAAATGAAAGCGGTAAATAAATATTGGAAACCCATAAATCCTGTAAACATGTCAAAAGTATTTGATTTCCAACAGTTATTCTCCGGTCTTGTCTTTTTCTTGCTGTGCCGCTTGCTTTTCCTTTCGGCTGCTCCTCTCACGTTTACTTCACAGTGCCACCCACTGGCAAAACCTGCTATCTTCTGACTTGAAATACTCATGTGTTCCTGAGAGCACTCCTGTGCCAGTATGTTTTATATTCCTTGCTAGAGTTAAAAAATGACAAAGCAAATCTGAAGTATGCTTCCTTCTCAAAGTGTTACAGAACTTGATGGGTTTAGAAAAAAAAGTGTAGAGATACCATATTTCTGTACAGAATAAAAGTTCTCTTCTTGCCATAGATGACACATGCCACATACTTGCAAACATACTTATATCAGCAGTGTCAGTACAGATAAAGAGCTGCTGAGTGTCGGGGCTAAATCCGCAAACTGATTAAAGCAATACTGACTCCTTTAAAGTGGGGATCATGAAGGAAATTTTCTAGGGGAAAAAAAGATACCTACTTGTGATTTTTAAAGTGTTTGCTGTAGGTTCCAGAGAAGTCAGAGTGCTTTGCATCATGAAATGAGGAATGATTAAGTCTACAAAGGGACACAGGCCTCAAACTGGCACTTTTGCCACCTTAATCCAATATAGGCACCACCGAGATCTTCACTTCCCATCTTAACTTCACTACTTTTTCACGTACCACCACCACCTGACCATGAAAGCATCTGATATCCGTAGCAATTAGAGCCACAGAAACATTTGAGCATCTACCTCTGACATAATCCCAGCTTTAAACCCAAACTGCCATTTGTAAAAGCCTGTGTTGTAGGTGAACTTAATTTGGTTCCTGCTTTTGGCTGAGGCCGCTCAAGCATGGGGATCCTGTTCCCTGGAGAATGCTATGAACCCAGGCTGTAGGATACTTTGGAATGAGATATTCTCTGTTTGTCCTGCTGATTTCTGAACAGTATTTGCTGAACAGTATTTGCCTTTTCATGGAATAATGGAATAACAATAATAATCACTTTGGATACGAGAGAAAGAGATGGATGGTATCACCCTCTGTTACAGCGTTCACCTGGACTGAGAGTACTACCCTTTCAGCCTTGCCCCAACAAACATTCACATGTGTCATGCGAAGGAGATCTGCACTTTTTTTTGACATAGAGCAGCACATCCCAGAATGCCAGAGGGGCCAAAACACATTTCTAAGAGATATGGGTAGAAGTCTCCTCGAAGGAGGAGGGATCTGAAGCTGGGTCTCCAGCCCCTGAGGTATTACTCAAACCATCAGCAGTGGTGATTCAGGAACGAGGTTAAAAAAAAAAAAAAAAAGACACCTCCTGCCCATTGTATTTTGTAGGAAAGTCCCACTGCACTGCCCTAATTTCTGGACCATGGCAGAGCATATGCCACACACATCTCTTCAGTATTCCCTACTAGCTGGCTTGGGCTACTCAGTAGATAGCTGTTGTGGATTCCACTCCTAGGTCCCTAGTGCTTTCTACACGTTGGATGTCATGAAGCAGAAAGGCACACCCATGACTTGGGTGTTAATGCAGAGTGTTGCAAGGCCTAAGACCCTTTGTGCATTTAATCCCAAATGCTTAGACAAATATTTATGAGGTTCTATCTGGTATCCTTTAGGGTTTGCGTATTTCCCCAATTTTCTAAATTTAACTGCTACAGTCACTTCTTCTAGGGTTTCCAAGTGGGCTTATAGTGTTGTTGCTAGCCCATGCTGCCATGTTACATATGATCCATACTAGATGAGCCAGCTTTGAGATGCCTTCCCGTGCTACAATCACACTTTCATTTTGCTGCATAGATATATCCCTAGTGATGGTTTCTGTCAAGGAATTAATAGAAGTCAGTTATGATCCACTGATCTGGAGATAATTTTAGAAATCCAAACTACTCACTTGGCCAGGGTTTATTTCTCACTAGGTCTAACTTGGCTTTCCTGCTCATCGGTATGTATAGTTACAATTATAGTATATTTGATGCTGGTTAGCGATAGTGCTTTTGATTTTGCCTCCTGGTTTCCTTCCCTACTAGCAGAGTACAACTCACTGCCTTTACAAACATAACATAGGATACAAACTTACTGCAAGATAAAAAATGCCCAGAGTCTAATGAGGTTCTCATAGTCATACTATGTTGTTCTTCACTCTTACAGTGTGCATTTCAGAGCTAGCAATTTGTTACTCCTACTCCATGCTTAATCAAATTATTTGAATACATATATTTATATTGCAGTTGTTTAGGACCATTCTATGAGCAATCCAGCCTTCAGTCGAAGCTTCAACTCCTTCCAGCTCATTCACATTAGTTTATTCTACATTTAAGAAGCAAAGGATACTGTAAAAGTCATTTGATTTGGCCATCAACTATTGCAGAGAGGAGAAGTCCTTTTCACTACAAGTAAAAATGAGAAGAAATTCTTCCATATCTATTTTCCCAGAAGCTGCTGCTTCCCACAGTGTGTTCCTCATGCTATCTAATAAAGGCAGTAGCAGCTTATTGGGATACTAATGGTTGAAAATATCAAATTTACTCAGGATGGGACAGAGCTGTAAAACTAAAATTAGATGAACTAACTTTTGGCATTTTTATAACTAACACCCTCCTGCTGTAAATGATTGATAAAACAGTTGTGAATAGGCCATTGGTTGCTGTACTCACTATTCAGCACAGGCCAAATACCATGTTCATTCACTTGATATGTTACCAGATGCACTGTGTGTCCTTCTTTTTTAATGTTAAGTTCTGGTGTTTTCCAGGTATCAACCACGGACCTGTAATAGCTGGAGTAATTGGGGCTCAAAAACCACAATATGATATCTGGGGCAATACAGTAAATGTGGCCAGCAGGATGGACAGCACCGGTGTCTTAGATAAAATACAGGTAAGTCTTGGGTTTGTGCTAGTATTAATCTTAATCCTTTGAGTTTGCTGCTTAAGAAACATCATATATTTGTACACTAAACAGGTCTGTGTTTTGGAGCTAAGGATGCCTACAGAAAAAAATTACCTACCAGCTGTATCTGTACATTTCAAAAGAATTAGACCTTGGATAGGAAAGTAAAGAAATAAAAGAAAATTATAGGGAAAATGGGAGGAGAATCAAAATTTTGTCTTGACCCTACAGAGGAATACAGTGGAGAAAGTCATGGGTTGCCTGGAAATGCATCCCTAGATTAAGAGAGGATTTGAGGGAAATCACATTTCTGTTAATTTCTAAACTTGTAAAATACTAGCTACCTTATCTCTGAAGGACATTCCTGATGTTAATTATTTTTAAATAAAGGAAATGACCATAACTGCTGTACATCAAGTTAAATCCATAAAGCAGTCATGAAACTTCCCTTTTAATGAACCATGCTGATTAATAATCTTTATAGATTATTATCTGTATAGATCATAGATAGACCTGTATAGAAAAGACCTTCAATTTACTAACTTACCAGTGATTCCATATTCAGGGATCACGTTTTAAGTATCTGCCTAGTATGCTGCCTAGCACTTTGGGATCCCAGTATGTGATTGAGCTCCAAATCTATGATTGAGACTATGCAAAACTAAATAATAGAAAAGTAGAGTTACCAACTGTTGGTCAAAACTGAAAACAGAAGGGATGTCAAAGCAATGACATCTACAAACAGTTGCTTGCTTCACAAAGTTTGGTTCGCTGCCAGATATGTGAGAAACGCAACAGCAGCTCTGACAGATGATGCTAATGTCTTACTATCACTTCATTCACACAGCCTTAGTATTTGCAAAAAGATGGGGAAGCTTGGGTCTACTGAAATGAAAAACAGCTCCTGAAGTTGAGAAAAATGCTATATGAGGAAAAGCATTGTCCCTAGTGCCATTTGTGTATCTACGAGCCCTCTGTTTGCAATCCTAGGTACGCAAACGGTTTTACCCCATTTGATACTTGATGTAAGCGATTAGAATGGGCATCCAGCAACAGACTATTTGGAAGCTCAGGTGCTCAAACCTCACTTGAGACCCTTAAAAGCCTTATAATCATTATAGCAAAACCCTTATAATTGCTCAGAACATATGTTCTCTTCACACTGGAAGAAGATTCTGCTTTGCTCTGTTATCAACACTGGTTGCGTTACTGTATCGTTGCAGGTTACAGAGGAGACGAACAATGTCCTGCAAACACTGGGGTACATGAGCACTTGCAGAGGAATAATAAATGTAAAAGGAAAAGGAGAATTGAAGACATACTTTGTACATACTGAAATTACAAGATCCCTTTCACAAGGGAACGTGGCATCTTGAAGAATGCTTGTATGTGTCATCAATACCATATTTTCAGGAAAGTATCACGCACTTTTTAACTACATTTTGGCCCTTAACATGCGTGCTATTTTCTGGTATGTGGCACTTATTTTAATATGGCTGCAGAATAGTCCCATGAGCCATCATTTTGCACCTTGATACTCCTATGTTCAAGGACAGTTGCGATGTACGCTATAGGACTGGAAGATTATACTGCAACTTGCACTGTTATTCAAAGACAAGAAAAGAAGGAATAGGAATCAAAAGGAGGTAACTCATCCTGAAAGGACTAAAAAGAGATGTTAGTGACAAATGCGGGGAAAAATGGCAATAAAGCTAGGGGTGCATACTATTTTCTGATGCATGGTGTTTTCTGGAAAATACAGTCGCTCCCCAATAGCATCTACTAATCTGGTATTAAAGTATACAGTATTTGTAAATAAGTTTACTCTGTCCACACATGATTTGGATGTGATCACCAGTTGCATCTCATAGCCAGGGACACGTTGGGTGGCTTGCTGGCATTCTTTCTGAAGAGAGAGCTAACAATGCTGGAATAGTTTTGTACAAACGTGTCAAATGTTTTGAAGCTATTGTCTTTTGTAAGGTTAATTCATTAAAAGTTTATATGTACTTTGCCTTACTGTTGCCGTCTCTTAGTTTTGCTTCCTCCCATGGCTTCTGTCGCTCTAAACCTGCGCGTCCTCTGCTGCTGCCGCTGCTGCTTTTTATTGAGCAGTTAGATGTTGAGGCAGGCTATGGCCAGCTATCTCAATAGCCTCGGTCACTAATATCTGCTAGACTTGCTATTGCCTTTCAGAAATTGAATCATCTCTATTGTCTTCAGTCTTGGGTGGCATCCTAGGCACTTTGCAGTCATTTACTCCCTGGGTGACACAGAAGACTTACCTCAAATCCATAAACACAAGCAAAGGGGTGGATACTGGAGACAGTAGCAGTGTTGCTACTTTGCAACTGGCCTGCAATGCTTGACCAGTAACTAGGAGAAGCTGTACAAGAGAAGAAATGTTTTGTTTGTTTTGCATTTTGACAACTTCTTTTGCCCTTGCATGCCTTTCACTTAGCCTTTACAATGCCGTATTTCATGGGATATTTAAAATAATCTTATTCATCAGGACATGAGTATGAGCAGAAGATACAAAAAATGCTATTTTGTGGATATTCGAGATCAATTTAAATCCTGTTGAACTGAGAAGTTTCACACTTGCAGAGTTTCATAGATGGGCCAGGTGAAAGACTGAAAAAGCAGGTAATTGTATTATCTATGCTTCTTTGAAGCATAGATAATAAAGATTAATTTTTGCTTTGCTATTATCAGTACTTGAATATTCTTTTAGTCATAGCAGCCTAACAAGACCAAAATGAATAAAATCCTCCTATTTAAAAAATAGCACATAATTACAAGATTTTTTTCTGACTGATATCGTATGAATACAGAAGTCAACTTATGCACTCTTAGCTCTGGCATGTTATTGAACTGTAAAAAGTTTTCAGATTTCTCATTCATGAAACATATATTTACATTTGTATTGCATTGGTGTCCTTTCAGAAGGAGTTCTCAAAATTGTGGGTCACAAATAAATGGCATCAGGCCACAGTCTTACTGAGTGTGGCATGGTTTACTCACAGCAGCCATCTGCCTGCGAGCAAATCGGAATAGCAGTAGATTTCAAATGCCTACATTTGCAGTAAAATAGACAATCTGAATTTTGATCCCTTTAAGTTATTCTAAAAGCAAAATGCAAGTTATTTCAATTATGTCCAACATAACACACTTGACTTCTCGTCTCACCCAGAGCTGGAGACTTTTGATCAGTAACTCTCAAGATGGCTGGTCAATCTAATAAAAACTCATTAAAAATGTGTTGTTGCCTTCATGATTTCTTCCTTTTAATTAGTAAGTTAAGATAAATATTTTCCAATGGAATGAAAGACTTTCCAAATAGCTCACATGGCAGCAGAAACAATGTCCCAGACATTGCCTAAAACAAGCTATCACTTAGCTATGCTTAAGACTTCTCCTAAATCCCTCCTCTCCACTTACTACAAATCTGTCCTAGGAACAATTAAAAAAAATTATAAAATCTTTTAGATTTTGAACGTACTCTGGGCCCTTAAAATCATTCTGGTATTATCACAGGTCAAAGCAATCATTTCTTACTGTGGATGAAAACCCTTTATGTAAAGTTGATTATATTGTACTGTTGTATCTATGTGCAGCTTTCAGTATAACCTGTACATTCAGGATTTTGCTTTTCATTTGTATTCCTCCACACTTTAGGCATTAGCAGCAAACCTTGTACCTAACTCGATAGCCTTGCTTCTATGATTTTTATAAAAGTTAAACAATATTATATTTCTGTAAGCCATGAATTGTTAAAACATTTGAATGGCCATGAACTGACTGGTCCAATGAAATATAAAGAAAGATATACACCAATGAAATATAAAGAAAGATATACACGTGCCCTCCAAGAGCATGTTGAAAATGCCCTTGTTCAGACCACTCATGTTTCACTGGTATTCTTCTCTCATTTTGTAGTTGCGTTCAGATTCTTGCAGCCAAATCCTGTGAAGAACAAGAAAGCGGGCAAAAGGTGATTATACATGCGGTATGATGCCCAGACAAAGAAAGGTGCATACCCTCCTTTCTCCAGCCTTCAGTTACTGACTATTATTATTATCTTTCTAGTGCCAAGAAGCTATTTGTATCCAATAAATACTTTTTGTCTTCCAATGCATTTTACATCTACTGTTTATACTGTTTTATTTTTCCCCTGTCGGGTTTGACCCAGAGTTCTTGTATCCTCTTTCTTCCTCTCCCGCAGCAATTTCATCTGCCTCAATAACTGGATATAACTAAGACTGTGCACATATCAGTGTGTAAATTGAAAAGCTTTATGATAACCATACAGACCAATATTTGAGATGCCATATATTCTACATCACAGTAAGGCTCAAGTTCTACCACTTCCGTGTTGGTGTCATAGTTCATAGGTCACTAGCGAACCACAAAGAATGTGACTTCCAAAAGTACAATGCAAATGTCTTTCACGCCGTGAGGCAGCAGCCAAAAGATCAATATAAGAGTGATTCACTGTGGTCTGGGAAAATGAAATCCAAACGGGAACACCTGGGGAGCCTGCTGGATTTCTTTTTCAAAATCAATCCTTCGCTCCAATTTATGGAGGGCTACCAAGGGACAGGAAGAAAGATTGGACCTGTAGGTATTTTTGTTAACTACAAAAGTAGTTGGGATTACCTGAAAATTAATGCTATGTGAAAAACATTTTTCATTCTCTTTATATTCCTTTATGATTCCTCTATTTTGTAAAATACCTACAGACCTTCCCTTTTTCCACTGAGGCACAGGTAGGAGTTCAACCTGCTCGTTTCTAAAGCGACAGCTGTGCGCATCTGAAGGTAGAGCCGTTGAAAGTCTGTCCTGTTTTGTTTTCAGAACCTCGTATCAGGACAAATAATTAGCTATGTTGTCAGGATGCTTTATATAGCAGCAGATTTACTGTTAAAAGCAATGATTACCTTGTCCTTTGATATGACATTTTCCTATTGGTTGTACTTCTGTATGAAGATACTTTAATTTTTCATTTTCAGATAGCAGATTCTCCTTCACCTGACCTAGATACTACCCTTCAATGCTTTTTACAAGTGGACCCCAAACAATTTTAAGACTAGGGCTAGTTTTAGTTTTCCTTTCTTGTCTAAAATAGTGGAGTGACTCTGGGGAGGATACAAATGTAGAATGAGATATATGTGCCTTAAATAAAACATGTAATTAAGACAGCATTTTTGTTCCTTGAAGTACTTCAAATTCGTGTGGATTTGTCAAAAGTGGTGTATAAATCAGTTGTAGCTGGATCACCCTAAAGTTTGCTACTTATTAATTTTAAACATTTTCAAATTTAGGGGCAGGAATTATTCAGGTCAATTTAGTTTTTAGTATGTCAAGATGCAAGATATTTTAATCCTCTTTGTAACTATGAAGATATGAACCCTGTTATACTGTAGGATGCCACTGTTCAAAACAAAGATTCTGCCAAGAATTGTTTGAGATTTTTTGATGGAGTATTTTTCAAATATATTTGTAGCCATTGAGATGCTCTTCATGAAAATCTCAGTTTTGACAGGAAAAAATGCAAGATTGACATTCCTGGACTAGAAATTTTCATGTTTGCATTCCGAAACAGTGTTGCAAATAACAATTGTTATGAAAATAATGTCCACCTCATGTATAAAATTGTGTATTTCTCTACTTACCAAGAAGGTTATTGAACAGAATATTCATCTGACTCATTGAATTGGAATATCCATTCAGCAGATTATCAGTCAGCATACAAATAATAATTGAAATTATATCAGTTAACCAGTTTTCATTTTATAATTGTTTTCAAATTATTAAAATAAAAATAATTATAATTATTTGAAAAGCATAATTCTCTAGTCAAGCAGTTGAAATTGTAGGCCAGCCAGGAAGTGTTTGCAATCTGCAGACCAAGGCTCAGTCATCGTAATTGTGTAGAGAATTATTTGAAACAACAGATATATTCAGGGAAAATTAAAAAGTGTCCTGAGTAGCTCATGAACAAAAAAAAAAAACCTGAAGATTGCAAAAGGTGTGCTGACTTCTGCAGGTGATGTACAGTTGTCTCTGTCTCCTTCAGAAAACCTCTGAAGAGCCTTCCAGTTTGAGACGGGAGGTCTGTTACTAATTCAGGGTCTGGAAGAAACAAGCATTTGTGAGCATTTGTGAGAAATGGCTGGCTTGGACCAAAGCTATGGTAGTGGAAAGGGGACAGAGTTTTTGAGCCATTTTTGTTTCAGCCTCTTTTTCAAGGGCCGTCGGATGCAGCATTTGTTGGCAACGGCTGTCTCTCCTTAGTGGATCAGCTGAGGGTCAGGAACGTACAGCAATCTGATATATGAGGTCAAACAGCAAGGACAGGAGATTAATTGCGAAGCCTTAATTTGAGGCTAGCCACCTGAGCTCTAAGTGACATGAGTTTGAAACAGGTACGTCAGCTTGTAGTAAAACAGCTACTGTGGTTTTTCTGCGTATCAATGACCTGTCCAATTATATGTTATCTGTCCTCTTGCGTCTGTCCCGTCTCCAGCCCCCTGTTGTTGTCGCCTCCATCCCGTTTCCCCCCTGCCCCCCTCGTTACCATTTGCTTCACAAATTCTTTTTAGGAATTTTCTTGCAAAGTTGTTCCATAAGCCAGGTTGACATTTCAGAACAGTGACCCTGCCTTTGAAACACCTTTATAACTATAAAAGTACATATGAACATATTTGAAATTCAGGAACCTTAGCAGTGGAACCTGAGGGGTATATTGCTAATCCCTAAAATGGCAGGCAATTGAACTTAAGTCCTTAAGACACTGAATTCAAAGCAACTTTTAACACTTTGGTCTCTGAGCTCAGCTGTATTTGAATGCTAACTTTTGGCCATATAGATTAAAATTACTCCATCGCCCTCTCACAACTGTTTACATGTTCATATTTACATTACTAAGGAAACAGGCTGACCTCCAGTGCTACTCTGTAACAGGAACATACACCTGACAGTAGTATAGTAGCAGTGTATGATCTAAGTCTGGTTGTT